TTGTCTTTAGAACTGTGGTATTATTTTGGAGGGGAATTCCAAGGACATCACATTTTAAGACCACAAGCGACTGGATGACATTGAATAGTGTTGAAAACAATTAAAAAACATGTTCTTTTTTGATAATTTGGCGCAACTAAATAAATTTAAGAATACATTACCAGTAGAACAAGTCCTCTATTACCAGTAGAACAAGTCCTCTAAAGAGTTTTGATTTACCAAAATGATGAGAAATGACAGGAAAAAACGCAGAGAGATTATGTCCCAATCTGAAGAAAATTATGTTCCATTAGCTAAAACATTAAACAAGAACACCAGAAAATTGATTAAAATCATCAAATAGCTTTCTTTCTGTAGATATTCATTTCAGAGAAAGCTTGCGTTATTGAAAATTGCTTCAAAAAGTGCATTTTCCAGCAGACTAGAAGCATCAAAATTCGAGAGTTTTCTTCTCCTTCGGCGTATAGTTATATCCTGGGCTTGTTGTTGTTCCGATATATATACATATATATACACAGTGTATTGTGGTGGGACGGTGTCAGCAACTCAGTGTAATGTTCATAACCTAAAGGTACTACAACGAATAGCATACTCTATTTTAAAATGCTCTATCACCCTCATTTGAAGGTCTTTCAGTACGCCACAGATAGATAGATACAGATCTGCGTGCTTCCAAGCTCTTGCACTTTTCTGCATGTTTTCAAAACTTTGAAGGAGAATTTGAAGGAAAGATAGCTAAATGAGGGGCGCCATTTTGACCTTCTGCCCCCTTGCGACTTCATCCCCAGCACGTCACAGTTGAGAACTTCTAGCAATGACAGATTTTTGAGGTTTTAAATGAATTGGCTGGCTAGTTTCTTGAAAAAATTCCCATTTTCAATTGTTCTGATCAATACAGGGTATGATTTTTTTCAAAATTGTAGGCTAAATCAATACTGATAGTAAAATTTAAACTTCTTATCCAGAAATTCACCTTGCCTGTTTAAAATAGTTCAATTCAACTTAACCCCTGTCAAAAAGAAAACAAACGGTGTAATGGTGCAATTTGAGATCCAGGGCTTCACATTTAAAAACGATTAAAAGATGTGCCTGCTCCAGAGTTCGAATTTTAACAAGGTCTCAGATTTTTCATTTTAAATCCCAAAATTCCTAAGCTTTAAAATTCATATATTTGGCCATGAGAGTTAGAAAAAATTCCAAGTGAACTGTTAAGTTTTCCAACGGTCATTAGATTTTCCAACCTTTTGGTGGCGTCACGCCCTCACGTCCCCTATTATTTACGTGCCTGGCTGTAGGAATCCTGAATTTTAGCTCATGGAACTTTAAACGCGTTTTGAGAAATAATGTCGACAAAATTGTAAAACCGCTTAAAAAGGAGTTTTACAAACGTAAGTTCGTTGTAGGCAGAAATGTTCAAAAACACGGCAACAGCGGATAAAATCGAAATTCTTCTTCTTACGGCAATGATTCGACTAACGACTGAAAACAACAAGTTCGACAAATAACGACACGGCTTTAACAGGCACGAAGAAACTAGCGACAGAGCTTCTAGCAGTACGACAAAAGTTTCGATAAGACTAAACCTTATTTATGAAACAATCACTTATATACCCCTAGCAGAACCTTGAAATGATAATTACGTAATGCAAAAAAACATTCACAGACGCTGATGCAATCACAGCACAATGATGCAATTGTCACGTGATATTGTCCGTAAGGGAACCCTGTGTCGTAACAAAACTATAGAGAAATTGATATAAAAGGAGCTACAATTCGAAACCCTTATACATGGTAGAAGCTCTATTAGCCCCCCTCTCTATTAAATCCCTTCTCTATTAAGTCTCCCCTTATCAAGCAAGGACTTTAAATAAGCCCCCTCTCTATAAAGCCCCCCATTTTAGCTTTTGATGTCAAAAATAGAAATCATGCCCATTTAGTGAGTCTCTTGACGGTGTGATGATGATAAGATCGTGTGCATAAATACGGCCCATGTAAACACTAACTTGTGCGACTTAGTAGTCAGTCGAAATTTGTTTTGAAGATGTCGAAGGGTTATCAATTTATCCTGGTGATGTTGATTCAGATGAGGACCTCATAATTGATTGATTAAACTTTCGAAGCTGCTAGCGAGGTTTTTTGAGAATATTTGTAAGGCATTTTCATAACAAAAATGGCAAAGGGTGTTTTTAAAACTTTTTCTGCTTCAAATCTTTTATAAACCCCCTTTCTCTAATAAGCCCCCTCTCTTTTGAGCCCCTCTCTAGGACTGAAAAAATTAATAAGCCCTTTGAGCCCCCTCTGGGTAGCTTGTGCTCCAGACCCCTAACACCTAACTTGAAAGTAGAGGGTCTGTGTAATGGAGCGCAAAATCGCGTACGAGGATTGAATTGAATTGTTTGCATAATTATCACAGATCTGTGTAATCATGCAAGAAGAATCGCTTCAAGAAGAAATTGTTGATCGGTCGTGTTGGCATGATATATAGATTTATTTGAAAGAAGAAAAGTTTTGAAAATGCTGCTCTGCTATTTGATGATGAAGATCTTCGTTGGGAAACGTCATGCCAATCTTACAGCGGTTGATAGGGAGTGAATCTACGGCAGCAATCGAAGTAAAATTGCCTTGAGTAGACATTTTGTTTTGCATGGTAGAAGATGATTATTTACTATTTTGACTTGAATGTAATGTAAAGAAGGATTTTTTGGACAAGATCTGGTGAATACGATGAAGGAAACACGACTTTCAGAGTAGCGATAAGAAATGGAAACCGGAATATAAACAAGACGCTTTGCCTTCAAGCCGTAGAAAATGATCTCTGCTTACAAACGCAAGTCTACAGACAGTGGAAATTGCTTAAGACTCGTGAAACATTTAACATTGATCCAGACAGGGCTGCCCAACTGAGTAGACTAATTTCTTTAGCAATGTGAGGCAGTAGGCCTAGGCCTGTGCCTTGTACTTTTCGGGTTTTTGAAGTGTTTCCATCCTCGCGTCGGGCAACAATTATCTAGGCGTCATGATATATTCAAGGCTTCAGGCATCATTGTGACATTGTCTGACAAAATAAAAAGAAACTTTGAATTTGCACCCTATGATTTGCATATATTTCTTTTCGCTATTTGAATGTGTGAACTGCCCCGGCAAATTGAGCTCTGTTCACGCTGTTGTTCACTTTTGTCTTGTGAATGCCGCATAGTTTTTTGCATAATTAATTTTCCCAGAGATCCTGGGAAACGCTCGCACGCGATTTTGCTCTCGGTTACACCATAGGACCCTCTACTTTCAAGTTAGGGGTCTGGAACACAAGCTTACGGTACCTTTGCCAACTACAAGATAAGCTGTATCAAAAAGTAAGAGATGCACTTGTATTGGGTTCCTTTTAAAAAGCCAATGACATTAGTAACCGAAGAAGAAGATAAGTTAAGACAGAAGTATCAACTGTCAGCTAATGCAAAAGGCAACAAAGCGAATCATTTAAAAACATTTTTGATATTTTGAAATTTTATACCGTCAAAATATTGTTCAAATTCTGCGGATGGGCGAAAAAGTATATAGGACCTTATATGGAACTAAATTCCTTATAGAAATAAACAGGCACCAGAGAGCACAATTTTTGTGGAAAACGGGGGAATGTTTTGCATTTCCATTCTCAGTTTTCACTATTTATGTTCATGGGTCCTGGCTAAGCTGGTGTATCGGAAATAACCAATCACTTTCCTGGGAAACAAAAGGAAGTTCTTACGACCAAATACGGCAATGAATCGCTGAAAGCAGAGAGATGTTGTGAGCTAGATAGGAAGGGAGAGTGAAGGAGAGGTTGATCTGTCTGAAAGGCGTGGTGGAAAGCTGTGCCGAGGATATCTAAGAGCCTGTGAAATATCTGTTTCATAATTCGCGCCCAATAATGGTAAGCCACGTCCTTTTTGTGGTTCTTTCAATATGCCTTGTTAACTGCTGTTTTTCTTTAAATTTTCTGACCCAGAGATTGCTATTACAAAGGTCCGGTTTGGGGATGGCCTATGCACTTGCGGAGCCTTTCTGTTCCTGTCTTGAAAGGACTTTATCGTCGACTTTTTGATCAATTTGCTACTTGTCGTGAATTTTTGGCTGTACAATTGAAGAGGAAGTTTGGTACAGTGTTGATCTTAGCATCGGTGACAAGCCGAATGCATTTATTTGTAAAAAAGTTTATTTACCCCAAATTAGAGTTTGCGTTTCGTTTTAAACTTCCAAAATATTTTCATTTAAAGATTTAATGCTTTGAAGATAGGATGTCTCCGCCTTGATGGACGGACTTGTTTCTAGTTTAAGGGAGTCTAAATTTTTTCTGTAGTATAGGATTTACCGTATGAATTTTTTATTGTATTTTCGTTGAGAAATAGTTTACATACATGGCACCTGAATTTGAGGAGGAAGTTGATTATATTAAATACGTAAATACAAATCCTCAAACATTGCTGGGCTTCTCTAACTTTTTTGCTGTCTCTTTGTTTGAAATTTCACTGTTTTTAAAGCTTGTTAAAATAATTGTTTAATTGACTGTCTGAGCGAGGAAACCTGGCTCCATAGTGCTCTTAAAGTCATCTTCTAGCATCTATAAAATTTCTTCAAAAGTCTTTAATTTATTTAGCATGCACAACTTTGTGAATTTTTTAATCTGTCTTTTTTATTTGTATTGCATATCCAACATTATTGCACGGCCCATGCCACCAAGGGGGGGGGGGGTGGTGGAGTGGTCATGGCTCCCCTTTTTGGTAAGAAACAATATTTCCAGGCCCTGTTTTGAAGCACTAATTTCAAGTTTGACTTGTAGAACTTGGCCCCTCCATCTTGAAATTTATGGCATCAGTCCTGGATTGTAATTACCTTTTTATTTGGTTCAATGAAATGAAATAAAAATGAACATTCCTGTGTCATCAAGCAAAAGGTCAGCTAATATCATTTACAAAGGAAACAGCATTGACAGATATGGTTGTCAGAAAGCATGACATATTGGAAATTATACCATATATTTTATCATATCATTTCATGTATTAGATCTTGAAATGTAATATTTGATTAATAATGAACACAAATGAGTTGTCTTTGCAATATGTATATAATTTAGACATTGTTGTGTTGAAAATAATTGCCCTAATATCGCACTAAATTGTAAAAACATGCTAGGCTCTGTTTACATATCAACATGAACACACCAACAGACTGAGTCAGGCGCATAGCTAGCGGGGGTGTAGGGGGATATGACAACCCCCCAATTCTTGATGAATTTGTCGGTAAGTTTTTAGTTACAAAAATCTATTGGTGAAATAGTATATACCGTAAATCCTCAAACTAGCCCAAATATTTTTGAATGGGGGCTTATTTGAGGGGGGGGGGGGCTTATACAAGAGGGGCTTATAAAATTATTGTAGACATTAAGAAGACATTATTAAAAGACCTTGTCTATTTTAGTAGAAATTTCTTTATGAGCATTTAATTAATTACTACCAAAAGTATGAATTTGTTGGTAATTCAATAAAATGCCATAGGCAACCTCAGATGGCAAAAATCATCAAATTGAGGGGTCCAATTTGAGAATTTATGGTACCAGCAGGGGCTTATTCAAAGGGGGATTCTTGAAAACTTTTAGTTTAAAGGTGGGGGCTTGTTCAAGGGGAGGGCTTTTCAAGAGGGGGCAATTGGAGGATTTACGGTACCTAAATTTCCCTTTTTCTATGTCTTTGTCAGTAAATTTTACTACTCATGACCCTCCCTCCCCCTAGTCATGGACGTCAAGCTCACCACTAGAATGAGTATCAGTAATTTCAAGAAATATCTAGTTTTTTGTTATAACAAAATATATATAGTTATACATCATTTGTGCAATTTTCATTTTAGACACTTGATGCAGGGATATCTACAAATCCACAATGCCTTGAGGCATATGACCTGTTCAAAATGAAAACTAAGTATGATTTTGTTATTTTCAAAGCAAATGACAAAATGAATGAGATTATTGTTGATATATGTCCAGAGGTTGGTGAGTCTGAAAAGGTTTGGAAGGAAATTGGGGCCAGTTGCGATGTTAAAAGGGAGAATGATGAGCCAGTTGAGTACTGGAATCTAAGAAGACTGATTTTGGCAAAAAAGGAACCAAGATACGCTACAATACTTATCCAACCACCATCATCATCATCAGCAAAGCTTACTATGGTTTACTGGTAAGTATCAAAGTCTTATGATCTTGGTCTCTTTTGACCTTTCTGAATATATGAGCTTGTTGATATATTAGCTAAATTTGACATCCTTGAAATTTTCATTTTGCTGAAGTCCAGGTCCTATGGTTAGATATCTTACAAGTATCAGAGAGGTCGTAAACATTTTAAATGATTGAGAATTACACAGCCAATATAGCACTTCTATAGATTATACAGTCTTTGACATAGAGAAATTACCATATGTGTAGTGATGATGCACATCTATCAAATCTTTCATGGGTAGGATTCATGCTATTACCTATCTGTTTTTTTAAATTGCTAATAGACATGCATTTTTCAGAACAGTGGTGTCAAAAAATTCATTGTTTGTGTCTGGCATAAATTTGTCATTAAAATCAGCTCCAAGTTGCCATACATGTTTTTTTATAAGAACGTATTTTATAAGTAAGTTGTGCTTGGTTCTTCAAAATGTTAAGAAAGTTCTGGGCTGGATCTTTGAAACCTAAAAAAGTTGAAAAATTCAGATATTCAAAGTTTCAAAGGAAATTGTGGTGTAAGAGTGAAATATTTCAACAAAACAGTAATGTGCTGAGCAGGAAACAACGAATACAGTATGATGTTGTGGGTTTTCGAGAAATATAGCAAAATTTTTGAAAAAGCAACTTTCTAGAGCAGCATTTTTTGTGATAGGGACCTTTTTGCAAGAAGTCTAAATCAATCTGAGAAATCATCCCCCCCCCCTCCCCCCCTACACGCACAAAGGTTTTTCAGCAGATTTTGAGAAAATAGAATATCACCCGCTTTGAAAACTGGGGTTGCCATCTATAATTTTCATAGTGCTATTAGAAATATTTCAAATCAAATGTATAGGTAGATGTATTCCATGTTTTGTTAGCTATGAAAACATCTTCTTGTCAGCTGATGTCTGTTGCCATTTATTCACGAACCTACCAAAACTGTCTTGAAGTAGTATTTGTTCATTTTGAAGTATGTGGAAAAATTATATATTTTTTCCCTTTTGCTCCAGGTCACCTGATGATGCTCCATCAAAACAAAAAATGGTATATTCATCTACAAAGATGTCATTCAAAGGCAAATTAAATGGTCTTCAAGGCTTGTTACAATGCAATGATTTAGAGGAATTAAGCTACAAAGATGCTTGCAAAAACGCAACCAAGATTTGAGCATTGTTTCCCCAGACAATGTAACACTGAAAAGCTGTAATTCTTGGCAATACTTCTTTGTGTGCATCAATTTTTTATTGCATATCATTCACATTTTGGTGCATAGGTTCCTGAGTAAAGGTAGTTTTGTAGTAGTATTTAAGAGGGAAAATAAAAAGTGATCAAATTACATGCTTCCTTAGTTGTTGTTTCTATTTTATATATTTGACATGTTGTCAATATTGCACATATCACAGTCTGTTACCTATTTTTATCAGATATAGATACCAAATAACCTGTAGTTTCTGCCTAGACACTAAACCACAGAACCATAGCTGCCATTGTTCTTGAGAGTTGGTTGATTTGCCGCTCGTGCTCCTCCAAAAATTTGTCAAATGCTTATGTTTTAAATGAACATTCCCTTTTGATTTGATTATTCTCAAACAATAATGCCTCTCCAATGATTCTATATTTCTTAGTTTGTCTTGAGTCTGTTTTGCATTATGTAAAGCCTCCAAGGATGCCATTAACTAACATTTCAAGTAATATATGAGCGTAGAGAACTGTTAGAGGGTTTAAGTCTGTGACCAATAATAGTAAAGTTTATTCTGCACGGGTAACACCACCAAAGTTATGGGCCTAAACCTGTACAGGAAATGTCTGCGTTCCGATGCAGGCTTTCTTAATTTTTCTTTGTCACCAACCTGAAAGTCAGAGCAATTTTATGCAGCAATAGAGTACCGAAATAATGACGTCACGCAAATCTATTTTTAGAATTTTTGAATTTTGTTTCCATAACCCAAAAAAGCATCATGAAATACTTCTAAATATGTAAAATCCGTAGGTATTCCAAAATTGGCTGAGCTCTGGCCACATTAGTCTTGGTTCATAACTTTATGAACTAGATCAGAATAACAGTAATTCGCTAACAAGCTTGAAATCTTTCATTATCCATATTTCGCCCAATTGGGAACATATCTAAATCTATCTCATCTTGCATATTGAGCGGGTATCTTTAAGCCATTCTTTAAGATTATGTTGTCAAATTTAAGAAATTCCTAAAAAAAATTATGACGTCATACTTAAGTACTCTATTTTGGATTAGCTAAGACTAAGAGGGATGAAATTTCCCTCCCTTTTTGCGAAAAATAGATTTTGTGGCTGTGGCCTCCAGATCACTTGAATGTAACTCAATTTGGCTGGTATACAAATTCTAAAGAAATTATTTTAACGGGAGAATTTCTAAATCGTTAGTAAATGAAATTGTTTGGATCTCAATTAAGCGTAAGTTAAGTACATGTTTTTTTTATTTAAACCAACCAAATTATACTTGAGTTACTGATATTTTAAGATATAGATGAAAGCCTGTTTATGTCCTTTTCAAAACGAATTGATACAGTGGCAGACACCTGGGGCTCGAGGTGGTGGTCACTCCCCCCCCCATATTTTGGAAGACAATGGTCTTTTGTGTGTGACGTGATCTTATCTTGCCCCCCAATATTTGACCAAGTGTCGGCCCCTGACTAAACATAGCTCTTTCGACATTATTTTGTTGTGGATTTCTAGCAGCTGATAGTACTGTATTTGTAGTCTTTTGTGTTCTTACTTAACTTTCAACAGAAATCTCTGAAGAAATTGATGACACTTTTTAAAAAATCAATGTGCGTCAGTGATTGCTCTACCCAGGAAGAAGGCCTGATTTGATTAACTGGTCTTTGATTGCATATGGAAACACGGAAATCACAGAGGGGGTTTCTTTGGTCTTTTTCTTTGCAAATACATACGTGTAAAGGAACTTATCGAGGCTGAGCGTACAGGGATACTACAAGTCTGCCTTTTACTAAATACGAAGTCAAGACCTCAATTTTTTAGATGATTCCTTCAACTTCTTCGACCTTTCTCTTATAAAATAAAGGTATAAATACCTTCTTCGAAAGCGTGGGAAGGGAAGGTAACTGAATAGTGCATTGTTATAAATTGAGACAGTTTTATAGTGATTTGCAATCATAATTTTTCTACAAACTTGCTCGAAATTACAAAATTAATTTTACGATAATATCAGAAACAATTTTGCTAACATTGCTCCCATCAATTTTATTGGTGAATTAACCTTACCTAGTAGATTGGTACCATTGCAATGCGCCTTTGACGGGATACTTCTAAGTTTGGCTGGACGATGACGTCATAATAGTGTGTTTGTTCCTCTAAATAAAGGGGCAAGAACCAGTTAAGTATTTTGTGAATTTGCTAGGAAATAGTTGACACCGACTTTGATAAAGGAACCAAGACCTACCCTAACTACAGTGATTTGTCTTGAATGGAGCTTGGCTGATTTGACTATAAATTAATATTGGCTATAGATCCAACCGATTTCAGACTTGTATGATCAAAGACCTACTAAAAACACTTTTCTTTTCAAAGAAAATTTGGAAACTTCAGAGCTGAAAGCTTTGTAGAAATTATCCTGCCACAGGATCGCAGCTCGGGGTCGGAGACAGAGAGATGACAATTATCTGACACTCCCTCTCCAACGCTGACAAGTCAGAATCACCAAAAGGTTCTAAATTAAGGATCCATAGATTCAAATTCGAGAAAAGAGGACTGTATGTAAGTTAAACTAAATAGATCGATAATACTCCAACTCGTAAATATCAAGAAAACAAGAAACCATCAATTAAATAGAAGAATATTAAGGAATTAAGGAACTAAACCCAATCAGAATAAAATCGAAACAATGTCACCTGAATATATATATAATACGGTTCAAGAGTTCTTGGGTTCGTCTTTGTCTTTATGATCGTCAGAATAGAATGTTCCTTTTTCCCTTTCAACGTCCGTGCGTCCTTCTTTCCAGATTCAGAGTCAATCGAAATGATGATTAAATGAAATTTAATCAGAGTTAATTTCACGAGGGGCTTTTGAGCGTTAACTAAATTGCATAAGATTGTTGTTATTACTATTTCGTTATGATTTCTTGTTCCACGCTTCCTCGCATTTTGCTTGTATCTGCTCTATTAGTTTATGGGCAATGCGTCTTTCGGCCTCCTGTGAATTTGATTTGTATAACTAGGGTAAGATGTGTGTTTCGTGGCGTTTTCATTCCCCTGGTTAATCTAGGGGTATTTAAGATTTTGGCATAGCGTGGGTCTCATCTTGCTTGGTGAAGTCACAATACAACTAGGCTGTTTCATCGTATTTTCCCACCCCTCCCTCCCTCATTTTGGTTTCTTTATGCTAAATGCCTTTTCAGTATAACTTTGCGTGTTGAGTTTCTTTTATGGTATCGTTAAAACCTCTCATACCTTCAGGCATCTTTTATGCTTCTTAGAGTTTTCTGATGCTATTAGGTAGGACTGGTGCATCGGCTATTAGTGGGGAGAAGAAGCTTTTCCTGTCCATTCCCTCCCAATTATCAACCATATTTGGGGGTTATTGTGTAACTTCCCTTAGTAACCCAATAACCCCTATATGGTAGGTTGAGCGTTTGGCGCCGATGCACCAACGGCCCAACTCGCTCTCGATGATGTGGGAACGTAGCCTCATGACTGACCTTTCTGATGTCTATGGCAGTTTTTCTGAGGGAGCTTTATGCCCTTTATGCTGGATTGGTATTCCCGAGTTAGTAAATTAACAACAACCAAAACACCACCCATCACAACTCGTCAATAATATCACGTGACAACAACAACAAAATCAAAGAAGATCGGGGGGGGGGCAACAACCACTTTTTCCCACAAGCTTCTTAATATTGATTAGAGCTTAGTGCTCAAGGTTTCTTAAACGTTTCTTAAATTTGGGTGATAAAGTTATAATGCTTGATGCTTGATTTTAACTCCGAGACGGGCAAACTTGTACAAGAAAGATTTTTTGTCTCAACTCAAATCCTATACTTAGAAATTTTAAGGGGCTTCTGAGCCAGCCCTTGGAATTTCTTAAATAGTAGGGCAGCCCGCCTTAAAATTTTTATTTAAAATATTTCACATGGCACTTGCCCCCCTCCCTCCACAACCCCGCCATTTCCGCCACTTTTTCTCATACAAAAAGAGAGTGGGCCTTATAGTTCTAAAAATACTCTATGCTTTAATTATGTCAACTTTTTGCAACAGATCAATTCAGCTCAATTGTGTTTTCAGGGAAGGTGAGACCTCGTCTCGACGACGCTTCAATCACAGCTACAATCTATTTGCTTTGACTGTATGCCTGTTGCCAAAATCTCAAGTTGGCGGTCAAATTTTTGTGGCGCGAAATGTTTCTGGCCCCTCGTCTGCCGAAACAGTGAATTAAGAGTGACAAGAAAGAAATTGACGGAATGAAACGAGTTTCATTTTTAATTGGTGGCAGAAAACAGTCTCCATGGTCATGACAAGTCGACGCAGTTTGGATTCATCGAAGTTTGAAAACCACCTTGAAGTTTTTTTTGTCATCATGAATTACTCCAATCAATAATATGGCTAATTTTCCACATTCTGAAGTTGTGAGACGTGGAAATAGATCTGGTAGGTTCTCTCCCTTGACAGTTAACAATGATAACGGCAGCTTATCTGAATCAAGCAACTTCAATAGCCATGTAGCCAGAGGTAGGGTAACGAGGAGAAATCCACATGGAGATCTTGAAAAATATAATGTGAATGCTTCCCATTCTGGTCATCAAGTACCAAGAAATTTTGCATACGACCGACATGCAGGGGAAGAAACCCCTGGGCAACATCTTGGATATCCTGCTGAGTATGAACGGGATAAAATACATAGTTCATTTTCCAGGACCAGAACTGGAAGAGAAGGAACCCATCAGCATTATATGCGATGGGAAAATGGTGAAGCATCCGGTAAAAGATCACAAGAGGTTCTTGATTTGCCATTAGTGTGTAGAAAGCCAGATTTTCTTTTTAACTGTGGCATTTCATGGTTGGAGATGATATCAAATGATTATATTTGTAGAGCTTTTGGCATTAAACAAAGAAAAAGTTCTTTTTTAGTCTCCAAGAATGAGCCAATACTAACTTTTAACACAGAGCTAGAATCACATTCCATACCTCACTACCATATATCATATCCACTTTACCAAAGCCCACACCAAATAGGACGGCAAATGTTACCAGTTAATGTTTCAGATGAAATATCAAGTCTGAGAAATGCTTTCAATTTTACAGTAATGACATATAATGTACTATCAGATATCTTGTTGTGGCAGCACAAACAGCTATACAATAACTGCCCTGAATGGACTTTGAAATGGGAGTACAGAAAAAGCAATTTACTGAAAGAAATCATAATTTATAATGCTGATGTAAGTACATGTTCTGCTTATTTAAAATTTGATTTATACTTTGCTTGTAACTTGCTTTTATTATTTCAATTGTTTCTGGGCATAAATTACCAGATCTTGCACTCAAGGATGCTGAAACTTCTGTGGCAACCCTTTTTTTACTTCTAATTGTAGGTAATCAATACATGGTTTCTTTCATATACCAGACTGTGGTTACGGTAAGTGCCACCTGAGCCCCGAAAAGTTGTGATGAAGTTTAGGAGCTTTTCTTCTTAGTCTCTTTGGTCTTGTGCCTCTGCAGAGAAGTTTTTAAATGATTTGTTGCTTTAAACCACCAAGGCTGATCCAAGGCTGGTTTGAAATCGATATTCCTTTCTCTTGTTGCTGATATCGCGAGCAGTTTTCCTAAGATGTCTCTGTCAACTGCAATTGTTTTAACCAAGTTGTTTCCCTTATCAAATAAAACTAGTTTTTGTCATTGGTTCATGGAGCGGAATTTCTCTTTTTCTAAACTTTCTTGAACAAACATTTCCTGTAGTGTTTCCCTTACCTTTCTAGTTTTTAGTATGTCATTGCACCAAACTTCATCCACAGGCACATCAGAACTTAAGTTGTCAAATAAGCCTCTGTCTAAAACAGATCCAAAAGGATTTGTGTATTATTCTTTAAATATTCTAGCAAGATTTAAAAAAGCTGTTGTGATTTATAAGTATCATGGGACCTTTATCTGCCATGTTTACCAGTTTTCCCCATTGATGATAAAGGGTGACACAACAAGCCCAAAGATGTAACAACCAAAAGATAAATTTCCCCGTAAAATAACAAAATGGCAATAAAATCACATCTATCCAAAAATTTATATTGAACCTTTACGCTGAAATTGCTTTTGTAAGGGTATTGTAAGTCACATGACCTTAAAAATCATACACCCCTCCCCCACTGATGCCCAAACTTGTTTTGATGATTATCAATGTGTTGTCGATATAATGTAGAGTTAAATTCTGTTTTGGTGTTTTAAAACAACAAATTATCAAAAAACTCCTCCGTAGAGGCACTAGGTCAAAGATGCTAAGAAGGAAAGCTTCCAGCTCCAAGACGCACCAGCAGATTTTTGTTTACCATCGCAATTCTGAACACCCAGGTCAATAGCTAACTGAAAATGCTCATCACAGTTTCTCCGGGCTCAGGTGGTACTTGCCGTAAACACAGCCTAGTCTATCAAGGAATTAATGAGGCAGTGTAGGAGACATAAAAGCCAGACAGATGATTGGCTTTCAGGGCCGCAGAGAGGGGGCAATATTGAGATCTAGGGGCCTCATAAAGTAATGAATTCTATTTTAAGAATGGATTTAATCAAACGTAGCAAAAGTATGCCTAAAAATAGTAAAATGTTTTAAACGATTGCAAGAAGTGACTGCAAGAAATATCATGAAATGCATTTAAAGCTTTTCTGAAGAACATGGTCACCACAAATTTCTGCTCACCCTCTTGCAGGGGGCCTCCTTTGCTTGGTATTGCTCCGAAACCTCACGGCATCCTTGCTTGCTTCCTGTTCTGCCCTGAAAATTGTATTTTAATTTTAAGGATCCTCAATAAAATGTTAAGCATTGGCAAGAAATGTTGGCTATCAATAGAAGAGCAAGGAGCATGTTTGAGCCAGTTGCATGCTTTCCAAACTGGTTCTGTACCATAGCTTCTTGACAATGTGTGAGATGAGCTTGATACTTTCTGCCATGATGTCTTGTCTTTCTTGTGTTGAGCTTGGAAATCGTCTAATCTTAATCATCTTAATCTTGGTTGCCTTGATTTGTTAATCTTAAATGGCCATTTTTATTCTTGTTGATCAGATTATTTGTCTCCAAGAAGTTGAAGCAGATCATTTTATTGACTGGTTCCAACCAAAGCTGCTCAATAATGGTAACATTTTTATGCTATGCACTTTGAAAACACCAAAAAGTAGATTAAAAATTTGATAAAAAGAGAACATGCAAGCTCTTTACAAAAAATGTAAGATATTAACCAAGTCAGCAAATTTTTTGGAACCCTCAGATTACTAGCACTAGTTACTCAAAAAGAAGCATTTTTTAGATGTTTCATAACAGTTGTCTTAAAATCTTGTTGTCTTAGATGCATTCTAGGCATGGGTTTTCCAGTTTGGTAGTTATTATGATTTTCTCAGAGTTTGCCTCTTTTTCCCTTGTGGTGCAAAGATCATAATGTAGTTCCTATGATTCTTGTGAATGTTGAATTTGCTATGTGTCTCATCCTTTTAAAAAAAATTTCCAAAATTCACACTAAAACATGTGATCCTCTAAATTTCCTCAATCTTTCCTTAGTTTTCCTAGTTGATCTAGTTTTCCTAATTTTCCAAGTTTTATCTTTGTGTTGAATTGTCTATGATCAATTAGAGTAACGTTACAGTTAGTTTTGATATATATTTTGAAATAATCCAAAAACTTTTTTCTGAAGTTTTTTCACGTTGTTCTTCCAAAACCTTATTGTCCGAAGTATTTAACTGCATTTCATTCATAATAGATATTTGGTTGCTGTTAATGCTTTATTGATTCTTTTGAATGGATAGAAGTTTAACATGTCGGATTGAATGGTAATTTACTAGAGTCTACCGCCCTAAACGAAATTGTTTTGAATGGAAATGCAATTATTCTTTCTACAATCTGTTACAAAACGTGAATATATGCTTTAGTTAAGTCTTCTTCTAATAACTGCAAAGAGTATGTGTCTTGTTTCATTATCATTTAAGTTTAAACTGTAAATTTATACACTACTGCCTATATCTATAAACCATTAGATTGCATTTTGTTCGGTAATTATTTATCTGTAGGCTTTCAAAAGGTCTGTTACTTTCCTAAAAAATTAACATTTCGACAAATAATAAAAATATAGGGTAAACTGTGTATATGGACTGCTGAAACATCACACTGATTGTTTTCCTTTTTTCACCTAGGATACCTTGGAATTTACAAGCAGAAAACTGGCCGAAAGACTGATGGTTGTGCTATCTTCTATCGTGAAAGCAGATTTATTTTGAAATGCTGTCGCAGCATCGAGTACCACGTACCCCATCACTCTCTAATGAACAGGGACAACATTGGCATGATTATAGGTCTTCAGCCTAAGGAAGAAGGTGTTCTATTAAGGAAACCACCGATATTTGTCGCCAACACACATATACTGTTCAACAAGAAAAGAGGTGACATTAAATTGCTACAGCTTGCCATGCTTTTCGCAGAAATTGGTGAAATTGCTAGAACCCCAGCATATCAACCCAATGAAAGACCTACAACAAATCAATATAATCCGGTAATAATTTGTGGTGATTTTAACAGTACTCCGTTAAGCTCTGTGTATGACTTTGTAACTAAAGGCCGGCTACGATATGAAGGAACATGCAGAGAGACTGCTTCTGGGCAGGTGCCTCAATACCGTGGAAGTCAGAGTGGGAACAGCAATATCTTTGAAAGCAACAACGTTTTGACAGAGTTGGGTCTCACAGGCTTGTGCCAAAAGCAGTTGGACAGGAAGGAGAGCGACCAATCTAAAGGCGATACGAATGCAAAGGACCTATCCGAAGATTGCGTCATAATGGGTACAAGAAGCAGTGGAAGAACTGGCACAGTTGAAGAGACTGGTGTTCTGAAGCACACGCTTGAACTACGTAGTGCTTATAGGCACCATCCAGGACAAAGGACAGTGACGTCATGTCAAGGTACTGTTGATTACATTTTGTTTTCTCAAGGAACTACACAACAAAACCCACAAAGACGTTATGGAGCTAGGAATGTGCGCCACAGTTCATCGAAAAAGCAGCTTTATTTAACAGGGGTTTTGTCTTTACTCACGGAGAAGGATTTGTCTGCAATGCAAACTCTTCCCAACCCATTCATATCTTCAGATCATCTGGCATTACTTGCCACGTTTCGGCTTTTGTAACCAATAGATAGCTTTTAGATGCCTCTCCAAGATTCAAATGTTTCGTTCTAATTCTGTAATTTGAATGCAATGCAAGAAGCAGTCATCCATTCATGTTTTACCTAGAAATTTCCATATTCCTTTCGTTGATTCGACTCGAAGCCTCGACTTCAATGAGAATATTCTGTTGGGTATCCTTGCAATTGAAGTGTTTTTACGAAAGATTTTAGTCTTTCTGTGCTATGAAGTCGTAGTTAACTACGCTCTTACTGTTATTTGTATTAAAAGGCGACGAAAAAACAACATGGAGTACTCCCATTTCTAGTCAGAATAAAAACCTGAACTCTATCTTGGGCTTTTGCAAACATGTTCAGAGGGACTCCAAAGTTTTTAATTTCATTTATGAGTTTTCCTTTTGCGGGATTGATGGTGTTTCTCTACTCGCTGGATGAAATTCAGAATCACGGGGCCCTAGGAGAAAGCCAAACTTTACAAAATTTCTATTGAACGCAACCCCCCCCCCCCTAATAACTCCCGACCTCACTGCACTTGACATGGCCCTGTACCTGCTTTTATACACTTTTATTAGATTTCGCATATTTATCTCTAACATATTTGTTTGCAAAAGCCACTTAAATAAAATCCTCATCATATTGCATTGTCATGCTATATTTATTCATCGAAATTAATCTGATATCCGCTCCCTATTCTTCTTAACTGTTTTATTTAAACGAAAATCGAATAATTATGGAATTAATGATAGCTTAAAATGTTTGGTTAAAACTAATATGTAACTGATTATCTCTTTTGGATAACGACGTATTAATAATTTATGAGATATCAGGGCGGCTTCCTGGTTTCTGCAATAGTTGGAAAATAAGTTTAGTCCTATTCCTGCCATACACCGCCTTGTCGAAGTCGAAGGAACGTTGTAAAACTAAAAACATGAGTTTTTGAGGGGTTGATCGAAAAGATGTAAAAGTTGATACGTTGTCAAAAAAAGTAATAAAAGAAGATGAATATCATGTGTAACAGAGGGAGGGCGTCCATAAAGGGTAGGTTCGACGTAGAATCATGTACATAGTGGAAATTGTTTCAAAGATTTAATCATAGTGGAAATCATAAATCATAAATCATAAATCATTAATCATAAATCATAGTGGAAATTGTACATAGTAGAATCATGTACATAGTGGACATTGTTTCAAAGGAGAATACATATGCTCAAAATATTTTTTCATTAGATTAACAAAAAATAGCTGAAGTTCATTTGAAAATCGTTGAAAGGTGTCGTGAATGTTTTAATCTTCAGCCAAACGGTCTTAAATCTTTGGCAACAGATATTTTGCACATTAGAAGAGAGTTGCGGCATTACAGGAGGAGAGAGGTCAGAAAGTCACGATTTTGGGCAAATGTATTTTCTGGATGCTTCATGGTAAAGCTGCTGTGGTAGCTCAGTCAACTGGCAACATCATACTTCAACATGACAACGAATTCGTATTTATTAGAGGACAAATATAACTTTCTTCAACAGAGAAGATTTCTTCCAATAGACGAGGCTATGGCTATTTGGTAAAATATTTTTATAAGCATCATCTAGTAGCTCTATCTAACAATCACACTTTTATGTACAAAAATATACTTTCTCTATAAAAAACTTACATACTCTTAAGTATAGCCTATTGAACAGGAGTTGGAGAGGTGAGGGGGTAGAAAAAGAAAACCAGATGAAAAGGTAAACATAAAATCTTTTCAATAATATTAAAAGAATTTTTTGATTCTATATGAAAAAAGAACTGACTTAGTAATAAAGTTTTTCCTTGTGTTAACCCCCCTTTTTGTTATAATTTAAAGTATGAGGCTCATTTATGTGACACTTTATGATTGACAATGCGTGGTGTGGTGACAATTACCGTGAAGGTGTGAATGGATTGGTTTTTCCTATTCTAATAGGCTTGTAATAGACTTTGAGCAGGGATGGGGTCTGGCAAAATCTGATAGGAAAGCATCCAAAAAAATCAGTAAAGTATAGTAAAGATAAATGTTCAACTGAGAATTTAGCCATGGAAAAATCAATTTCGAGCATATTTATTTCTAAATTTATTTCAGCAACAACATTGATGAAAAAGCAGTGTATATAATGTTGCTGAAAATATTTACAAGTAATAAACGGAGGCCATCAAAACTAAAAGTAAATTGGGTGGATACTTTCAGAAGGTTATTCTTATAATATTATTTTTTGAATAGAAAACAACTGTTATACCCTAACTGAAAAACGATTTATCTCAAAAAGTGACATTTTGAACAAAATTTGTTGTTGTTATGTACAAAAGTATAATATACATAAATTTTTATTTGCGTAACTTTGTGATAAGAAGGAAAAAATGGAAAATGTTTTGCTTCACAAAAATAATCAAAATCTATTATAAATTATCTCAAAGCAAAACTTAGTCTTATGAAATTATAATCAAATCAAAACTTAGTCTAAACAGGATTTATGAAATCTATGATTTATAACCAGCCGGTGTGGATTACTGAACATCAAAAAGTAACTCCATAGCCTAAAAAAGAAGAAAAAATATATATCACTGCTGAAATTTCGTCTTTATGTCTGTAATACTTTCTTGTAGCATTACAATATTTCAGGGACGGGCACTTGCTCAAATATTGGGGGAGGGGCAAGCCTATTGTTTTGATAAGATGGCGTCACATTTCCCCGTTGTATCAACTGCTTGCTTTACCTATTATGACATGGCCGAAGTAATTGTTTTTAGAAGATTTACCAAAAAACTGTTTCAAATCATTTGATTTCATGAGAAAGTATATTTTTGTCGCTAGCAAATCAGGGGTGGTGCTGGAAATATTTCTTAGGGGGTGTCAAGTTTCAGGTGATTTAAAATGGCATACTCTGATATCAAAAATAAAGGGACCTTCTCCCCCGTTTACTATTGACTTTGAGATTCTTAAACAGTTTTCCCACTGTTAGTGTAAATAAAAACGTAAAATTTTTCAATTATTTTGAAGTTTTTTAAACTCTCCGTCTCTCTGAAATCTTAAAGTACCATTCTGAATTATATCTTAATAATAGCAGTCTAAAGCAATACCATTATTGTTTTGTTCGGGAACATAGCGATGAAATAGTAAATAGACACAGACACGCATAGCCAGTCCTGAAAAGGATATTGGGATAGGCTTTCCTTTGAAAAACGATTTTCTGGTAATCATTCTCCTCATTCGCGCACCCAGCACTGAAACATTGTAAAATGGCGTTGGTGCTCACTGGTTTCAGTTTGCCAATTAATAGTTGAGCGAAGAGGATCAAATGTAAATGAAAAAAATCAAATACACTCTTTTTTTATAAGAACAATTTTATAAGAACACGAGCCTCAAAGCTGGTCAAAAGTTAAGAACAAATTAAGAATAAGCTGAGGCTGAGCTTCTGCAAAATGCAATTTTGAACAACGTTTTTTCTCAAAATCGAGGATTTTAAGCGATGCGTGGGTGCTTTTTCGGTGAATATTCAAATTTGTCAGCAAATTAAGGCTGTCTCACTCACTTTGTTGGCAAATGAGGCCTGAACACCCCCCTTAGAGCGAAAAAGCTAGCAATAGCACTGCTTACACCCTTTTAATTTAAGAACAAATTAAGAACAATCCAGCCTCAGATTTTCGAAAAAATTAAGAACAGTCAGCCTGAACTTAAATTTACTGGTTCTTATAAAAAAAAGAGTGTATCCATCGACTATCAGCGATTTTTTAATTAACGCCACCTCCAAATTTAACGAGTGAGCACCAAAATACCGAATCTGCCGAGTAAAGTACCGATACATAACTCTTGGGGGATGTCGCAATTCAGTAGATACGACAGATACGTGGTAAACTTCTTTAGCTGCAGAAAATGTTTTCAAAAATGGTGTTTTATAACAGGTGTATAAAAAATTTCCCTGAAAACGGGATAGACTTGAAAATGGGAGAACAGAGAATGTGTAGAGATTTTAATATGGAGAAAAATGAGCTAAGAAGAATGCCATCACCTTTTGGATTGCATGAAGAAATTCAGCTGATTTTTGTTGAACTTTGTCTCCCTCTTGGACCCTCAATTTAAGCAGTTCTGTTTCACTCTGCTCTTTTATCTTCAAAACCTTTCCACAGACTTTTTCACTTCCTTAAGAAAAAATCAAATAGATATCATTTCTATAAAATACTTAAGAGAGATATTTTAAAATTAATTTAGAAGCATAACAAATTCTAAGATATTTATTAACAAAGAAAACAGTATATTGTAAATAACACAAGCCTTTATTTGGAATTTGCCATATAACTTATTGGCTTGCAGGCAGGCTTCACCATAAATAAAAGTTGGGAAATTTGTGCAAGATAATCCTTCTATAGTGGTCCTTCTATAAAAACAATGATTCATAACATTATAAAAACAATGATAAATATAGTAAATAAAAATTTACTTTGAATACTAATATCACTTTTCACACTTTTAAATCAAGTCAACCTAGTGATCTTTTTTACAGGATAATTGCTTAATGACGAAGGCTGTTAGATGAGCATTGCAAACTTCTGGCAAAGGGCCAAGGCTGTGGCAAAGGTTTTCATGGCCCTGTGGCAAACAGAAAGATAAGACACCCTACAAGCGAAAGTTTTCACAACCACATCCTTTAGATTAGCTTAAATTTTCATTCATTCTTTTTAAAGTTTTACTAAAAGTTTTAAAAGTTTCAGGCATAATTTTGTTACTTTTAATTGGTTCCATTTTTAAATGGAATTCATTACTTAATGAGGCCCCATAGACCTCAAGGCTCTGGGGCAATTTGCCCCCTTTTCCCCCCTCTTGACGACCCTGCAGAGGTCACATAAGATACTGTAAAGCAATCCAATTCGTCATTCTCTTTGATTGACCAGCTATAACTCTGCCAGTAGCAAATTTACTTTGTTAATTTACTGTGGCATTAAAGCTACTATCCACTGTTGTCCTAGCAGCAAGGCATTAAGTTTATTCCAAAATTATATTTCAAGTTTAACCAAGTGCAACCACAGCAAAAGACAGTATCAAAAGTAGTACTCTAAAATTTTTTTGTAGAGAGCTTGAGAGTTTCATTCAGTGGAAAAAACTTGGCCTGTTTTAAAAAACCGAAAAATGGTCAATTTGAAAACAGAGATGTTTTGTCTTTCTGACTACTACAAACTTGTTATTAGGTATATTCAGTTTCAAGTCATTATTTGATCTTTGAGAATACTTAAGAAAAGTGTATGCAAGGTTACAATCAAGAGCAGGAAGTAAATAAAGACAATGCCCTATGGAAGAGGAAGTTTTGATAAAGTGGATACAAGAAAATGAGTCCTGTTACAGAGATTTCATAACCTCTATTGGGTCGATCGATCAGCAGCCATTGTGATAAACCAATTGACAACTGATAGTGATGAAAACTCACCTTCCACTGTTTCTGTAATGTTTTCAATGGATGTGATGTTCTTGAGTTGCACTGAGTCCTGAGCCATGGTGTCTTTATTCTCCAAACATTTGAAAAGAAGTTTGCTGCAATAATAAATAAATAAGCTATTTTGCCATTTAATTGCCAAAAATGGCTCAAGTGAAAAGTTGTGTGGAAAACCTCCAAGGTGATAAAAGAAACCCTAAGTTTTGTTGTGATTCCTTGAGGAAGATAGAAAGTTGAGGACTTCTAAATACCAATCTTTAAGATTATTGAATGTTGTCTGTCTGGTGAAAGACAAAAAGAGTTTTCATTATGAAAAAGCATTTTTACATTTAAAAGAAAGAGCCAAATGGCATGACCTAGCTTTACAGAGTGAAAACTATTCGGTCCACACCCTTTTGAACGCCAATAAAAACCTTTTTTGCCATTAGGGGGCATCAGCCCCCTCTTGCCTCTCCCCCTAGGTCACTGCTTGTAATGTTTTTAAATGGACTTTCACTGCTGCTGAGTGTGCTTTTATGAAGGTTTGATTTGAAACATTTTGCCTTCAGTAAAGACAATGCGGCTATCTTCACAAAGAAGACAAAGAGAGCATTTTCTTGAAAAGCATTGAATTAGGTATGCAGTCAAGATTCATTAGTCACCTGTGAGATTGTTCATGCAGTTTGCATTCACAGATCACAGAGCTGTCATTCAAAACAAATGATGCACCTGAAAAGAAGTACCAATGTCTAAATTGATAAAGATATGCTTTTATCAATACCTTGAAGTGGATCAGAACAAAAATATACTTCTAATTATTTAATTTGTTCACAGAAATTATTTAATGTTTGACCACTATACTCATTTTAGTAACATAGAATATCAACATCATATTATATTAATTGATTTTAGTATTAAGAAGCTACTACTACAAGAAAGAGCTTAACTTCATCACCATACCCTCAATTAAAACCTTGAGATCCTTTGCGAAGAAGATGTTTTCATCTTTTGCAACTGGCAAACATTCCATACAAACTCTTTCTGGATCAACATATGAAATGCATGGCAAACTGATCTTGTTCTTACAACAGGCAGAGCAAAATACTCTTCCACATCTTCTACAATGATGCTAAAAAGAGTTGAATACTGGTTAGTATCAAGTCAAACTCAGACCAGGGGCAAATTGTTTTCTGTCTTAGAAGTAATTCTCTTAGGTAAATAGGTAAAGAGGTAAAATAAACACGTCAGAAATATGTTAAGAATGCAACAATGTTTTAAGAAAAGAAAGTCCATAATAAATTGAAAGAAGAAACTCTTAAATAAATGGAAGATTCTTATTTTTCAAAACATTGCTAATAATCCACAATCTAGCCTTAAACGTCATCATGTTTCTTTCTTATGCAAAACCTACCTTCAATATGTGTGACAAATCAGTGAAACTATTGCTAAATAGCAAACAAAAAACCATGATTTGGCAGTTTTCTCATGTACAGTAAATTTTACTTACCCTTCTTAGTGTAAAGGAGAACATTTTTTTGCATCTCATACAGAAAGGATGCTAAAAAATTAAGCATTGGGAACATTAATGAACAGTAAAAACAAAACAGTTTTAAGTAAATAAACTTTATTTGCCAAATTACTAATAAACAGCCTCTCTACCGTAAAATTCTGAATATAGGCCTAGGACTTACATTGGTCCAAAGATCGTTTTTTGGGCTTACATCTAGGGGGACTATATTTAGGGGGGACTATAATCAGAACAAAGTTAATGTCAGAAGAAAATGCAAAATCAGTTTTTTCAACCCTAGATAAAAAGATTGGTCATGTTTCCAAGGAGCTTACAATTAAGCTGCATCAATTGTAGAAAAGTGGCATATATTAAAAAAATCGCTATTAAAAAAGGGTAAAACTTTTTGCAGGCCCTTCTTAAGACCAGGGCCCTGGGAATTTACCCTGGCTAGCTTTCCCTTCTTGATGGTACTGTGCAGGTCCAATCAGATTTAACCTGCTCTATTAGCACAGACTGTAAAACAAATGAAGTATGAATGTGTATAGGTATGTAAATATTAAAAGTTTTTCTTTTTAAACCAGGTGCAAACCAGTGTTGCCTAGACGGTACCTTTTAGGTTAAAGGTTTAAAAAAATCCCATACATACATACAATCAACAGAGGATTTATGGTGAGGCCATGGATAACTTGGATTGTTGACAACTCAAAATACTCTAAATTACTATGAATTTGACACAGAAATAAACGCACACAAAAATTTGACACTAGCAGTGTACACTGATGCTATGCAGCAGGAGAAAATCCAGTTGGGATGCACTTAGCTGGGAGATTTTTGGTATCATTGGCTGAAAGCAAAGCTGAAATTCAAAGTGGAAAACGACTACCAGCCTGTCTTTACAAAAATATATTTATCTTCCTAAATTCTTTCAAAGTATTTTAGGAAAACCAAATAAAACTTTGCGCAGTACTAAAATGTACATTCAATATCAGATCAAATGGCGTCCTTAAGAATCTGGATGCCTATCAAAAATCATGTAGAACGTTTTCAGTTTGCAAGGACCAAAGTTGCTTATCAAATCACTGAACAGTTATGTTTCAATATGAGGGTACGAGTGGGTAGTGCATAATCAGTCTTGAATGAAGAAACAGATTCTACATTATTTGAACCTGAGAGTCATCCAGCCACTTCGGTTCTTCTATCTCAAATGGAGATTTTGATTCTTCATCTATAGCTACCATGCGCAGTCCTCCTTTCCCTCTTTCCAACTTCCTATTTTTCCCGTGCACGAACTGTTGCTCCATTGCTGATTTTTGGTGATCTTGACTTTTTGATCGAAAATATAAAAACCTCGTTCTAATAAACTATCTTTTATGATGACCTCGTTTTGGAAGCTCCAGGAAATTTTGAAATTGAAGTTTCCAAGCTTTTGGCAATAAGAAAGACAATTTTTTACTAGGATACAAGTTTCCCCGAATACTTTTCATCAGCTATTTACACCCTTCTTTACACCCTTTTGTATTTGTTGCTCCCTTGCTTCTGAAGGTATTACAGAGAGCTGGTGACTCTCTTCACTCTAAGTGAAAATTTGGTGAAAATTAGGGACTCGAACCCAAGACCGTCGTCATCACTACGATCTACTCTTTTCATCACTAGCTTACCTTGATCTATACTTAAAACAAATTTACAATCGACAAGACTAGACCAGTTTAATTTATAACAATTTTCGTTGGCGTAGCGGAGGTTAAACGTTTAGGAGGGCTGTGTATGGGTCTTACCCGAAAATTGTTGCCTCGCAGAGATAAAATTGACCGAATGAACCTGAAATTCAATAAATTTTGTCTGATTGCTAGGGGCTAAACATGGTCTCTGAGTTTACAAGGATATGGATAGTTCATGATAAACTTCTATCGAGAGAAGATGGTTGTTGATTCTAACTGTTGTCAGTGAATGACCATTACAACTAGAGAGCACATTGAACATGTCCGTATTTTAAAGATTGGTGGCTTCTGCACGCCAATTTCTTCAATTATGATCCCCTTCTTCTTATAACTGCTAACATATCATTGTGTTGAAGGCCTTGCAAATCGAAGGAATTCTTGACAGAATTGGCCTTGCGATATTGAAAACAATTTTTCTGGGCAAAATTGCCATATAACTTGGATTTTAAAGATTGGTGGCTTCTGCACGCCAATTTCTTCAATTATGGTCCCCTTCTTCTTATAACTGATAACATATCATTGTGTTGAAGGCCTTGCAAATCGAAGGAATTCTTGACAGAATTGGCCTTGCGATATTGAAAACAATTTTTCTGGGCAAAATTCTAGCTATTAACGCTTCTGATTGGGATGCATAACAAACTTTTCTCTTGTGATTTTATGGCGAGGTGGTGTAGATATTTTCTGCAGCCAGCATTTAACATGTAAATGTCCCTACGAATCAAAGGGAAATCTGGAAATGTAATTTTGCATCTAGAGCCGTTTTATTAGATACACCAAAAGCGCATATGTACCAATTTCTATGCAATTCTAATTCATGACTCTTTCGCTCAAAAGACGCGTTTTTTCTGCCCTGAAAAGTTCTCGAAATTCTACGCTTTCAAATTCAATTACTTTGAGTTTCTTTTACATCAAACACAAACAGTCCTATAGAATTTCTCAAGGTTAAGAAACTCTTGTTTTCAAAAAGCGTTTTTTATCAAATTGTACATCTTAGGTTACCTATTTTATTCACAAAGAAAAAAGTCTGCAGATTGAAATATCATTTTAGGCAGGGAATTTATAACTTGTAGCATGTTCATTCAGCATTTCTACCCTCCGTGCTACTGCTTTTTCATGTTGGTAAATAATAGATATCACAAATTTTGATATCTGGTAAAAGATGATGTCATGATTGAAAAGCAATATCTTTTTTATTTTATTTTTTACTCCAACATTGATAGATAAATGGAACTGCCTTTTCTCTATTTATGATTTATAGCAAACATGGTGAATTGTATTGCAATGACTGAATTTTTTCAGTTGCTTATCGAAAGGATTCGGCGTCCACACCATCTGCTCGAACAGTAGAAAATCATTGTAGCAAACACCTGTGTGATCAGAGCTTATGTCAGTTATACGAAGGTATCCGTTGTTTCTAGGTTACTTCTACGAGACTTTGGTTGTAAAAAAATCTTGAGACGAGATTGTTTGTCCGTTGTCTAGATGTGTCCGTTACAAGGAGGTGTTATAATAGGCATTACATCATACTTTGATTTGAAGAAGAATAAAGATATTGGAATTATTTGATGACTTCATAAGCGAATAAATCTTTAAGCAAATGGATTCTTCATAGAGAAGGCGACTACTCCTTATATAGGAATGTCTTTATAGGAAATGCTGTCCTTAATATATTCTTCTACAATGTCATCAAAACCTGATCTTACCTGATACTAGAACATATAGCTTTTCTTTTATATATCGTTTATGATACAAATACTTCTCAGGCAAACTATTTGAAAAAATCAATTGAAATGGTTGAAGTATCCTTATGATGTTGCAATATGTTTGATAACTCCTTGAGACAGACTTTGCAACGTTTTTGAAACACTTCTAAATAACCCAGCTTCTTATTCATTTCACGTCTGCAGCTAGAAAACTTTCATTATTACTTCGTTTCGGAACAATAACTGAACATTTGATACCTATATGATATTTGCTTTGAATAGAATTTGTCTTGAAGAAAATATGTTCATCTTCCTCTCCTAAAAAGCGATATCAGATCAACGAGACAGACAGTTGACCAACTGGCAAACTCTCTACAACCGTAAAAAACGTGTCATGTGTGCAGCCAAGAGTAGCAATTGCAATATTTACTATGGTTCAATTTTTAACCAGCTTCGAGGGGGGTTGATGACGTAGGTATAGACTGCATGACCGCAAATTTGATTGATGTAAATAATTGCAGCCTTCATTGTGTGACGGAGGAACGCCAAGGGTAAATGGCAAGAACAGTCTACAAATAATAGTCGTCATCGGCCGGTAAGAAATGTCAAGGTACAAAGCTGGGTATGAGTCTTCGGCTCCGGTGTCCAAGATGCTTCCTGCGTCTAACATCTATCGCGTTGGAGGTAAGAGCGTTTTTATTTTGCCGTTCAGATGTACGGCGGAGCCTTTGTCTCGATGCCGCCAGTTGGCAAGATTATGTTCGCCACGGCCACGATTTCTTTGTAGTAGATGTCTCCATAGTATATTACACATAGATTTGTTTTGAAGTCTAAACTAAGGTGCATTTCATGCGCTTACTTGTGTTGTTAATTGTACAGTAGGGTTCCATGTACAGTTTCACATACCCGCTTCGATGCATTCCGCCGTAGGCCTAGGCTAGGCGGTTTGGCCGCCTTTGTTGTCGAATGTCGGTTTCGAGTAGACAATGTCCGTCCGGATTTGAACTTTAAAAGTTATTGACTGAACTGACTACAAACGCGGTACTATCTATACCCCACTTCTAAAATTGGTATTCACCCGTTATTAAATGATCATTAGACAATCTGTAAAACCTTCATCTGCTTGACCTGAACTAAAGTGCGTCGCCTTTCACCGCCGTCCGTGTTTGGTTCACCACTAGGCCATCTGCTATCTGTGATGCAACCTTGGGTAGCAAATCAATCATGATATACATTCTGTTCGTTCATAGTTCTGCTCTTTTCATTCTAGCAATCAAAAGAAAATTTCCTCAAGCAATGTTAATATCGTTCCTGGAATAATGACCTCGTGGGTCACAAAAGTATTTGTGCCAATTGGGAAATAATATTTCATTAATAGTCATTATTCTGACTACCCAAATCCTGTTACTTGTTGAGATCTAGGATGAAATCAATCATAAATATGGAAATGAATATTTTATCTTTCTATTATTACTTTCATTTTCTATGATTTTTCTTTTGTTTCAAAAATCACTGGCACTTGAAAAACTCACCATGGATTTCATTTTTTTTAATTTACTGTTGAAAAGTCTGATGATATCAAATGATGCAGACAAACATCTTTTGCAAAGTAATAAAGTTATGAAATGTTGAAAGCAACATGACTTATAACCCAGACTGGAAACTTTGCCGTATGCATATTATGCCGTTATTCTGTTTCAATCTAAAGTTCATGCATACAAAGGACAATTTCCCTGTCTAGAACAGAATTTTCTTAGCTTTTCTCTCAGAAACTAAAACATGCAACAGTAAATCTTGGTATTGTTTATTAACTATCTGAATATATGGTCACATGCAACCAGTTTTTCTAATCTAATATCAGTGTTTCACCTTTTTACTTCCCTTAAGAACACTAACAACCAGCTTTTGTTGAAGACATTGAAAGCCAGTTCCTTTGAAAATTTTGAGAAACAGGGCTAGCAAATATTGATATATCTTCAGTTATAAATCTAATTTAAGCACTTAAACTCTTAGTTGTTTGAGCTTGCTACTTGAAAGATTTGCTTTTTGCAGAGTATTTTAAAAAACTTCCTATTTAATTCCTTTCAGTTTTTATGTGACCAGCCTGTTTTTGCTTTGAATTATAAAATTTAATCTATATATTAAAAAACTTCCTAAGGATGGTTGATCTGTATGTAGAGATATCCCTTTCAAAAAGTAGAAAAATTTTGCTAAAGTTTTTCAAATGCCAGCAACTTCAATATTTGTTTTTAATTTTTGTAGTGCTTATTGACTGCCTGAAATTTTAGTGTATGTTAAGGCTTTGTTTACTTTGATATTTAAAGCACTGCTTCTATTGATGTATATATATATATTTCAGCCGTTTTTAGACCACAGCATGATTAATAATTTGCTTCTACTAGGTAAAGGCTTTTGAGCCAAACAATAGTTCATGCTCACCTCCACACTTCCCCCGCAACCTTAGATAATGAAAAATCACTCCCCTTGAATTCCATTGATTTGTTGTTTTGATATTCTCAGAATCTTGAAAACCTTGAAACTGTTAATTGGTTTAATTTCGTAAAGCCTGTGATCAGAGAAGGTTTTAATGAAAGAATTGCAGGGATGGAGTTCTCTACATAGTAATAAGAGGTTGCTTCAAATGCGAAAAAATAGCATTGCGAAATTTTCCTGAAAAAGACAAGCAACTTTACAATGCTATGGAAAATATTTTGTTAGAAATCTTTCAAAATTTTTCCTCTGATTTTTTTTGCATTAAATGTACATACAATTTAAATGTGCAAAATTATTTAATATTTTCTAAGACAAACCTGATGTTTTTCTTCAAGTGAGAAAAATGCACTCTTTATTGAATGACATTTCATGAACAAATAATTGTAAAATTGAACAAGGTCATAGTCTTTATGTACTAAAATTAAACTTTTGAATCATTTTGAAAATTTTCAGGACTTTTCTTGCAGGCATTTGTTGCCAGAGGTGTATGATTTGCATCACATTTTTCAAAGATGACATTTTTCAAAAACAGAAATATGTTTTTGTCCTATTTAGAGTTCCAACAAAGTAATTTTTTCTGATCATGTTAAGCAAATGGTATCATTGCAAGAAATGTTTTAGCAAGTGTATAACAGGATTTGAGAAATTATAGTGAGAGAAATTGTGTGCGAGAGAGGACAGTGCGAATAAGTGGTCCTGGGTGTTAAAAAATGACTAGGTTGCTCAGTGGTTGAGTATTGATGACTGTGTCCTTCTTTTTGGTCATATCATTTGTTCATGTTTTTTCTTACTGCAAAAACAATTTACTTAAAGACACATTGTTGTGCTGTTTATTGGTCTACCAAAACAATGGAATAGGTCTACTTGAAGACCTTGTAGACTAGTGAGCATCATCATGACAGTGTGCCTTTAAGTTAACAAAATACTAAGGGTATGGGATAAACAAATTCTCAACATGTGCACAGCAAATTTTTTCTTTCTAGTTGTTAAATTGAAACTTCAAGCAGGCTTGTTCTGCAGCAATTTTTACATTTGGTTTTAAGAAACCATTTGTTTAAGGAAAATTTCCCCTTTCTTTATTCTTCAAAACAGTTTACAGATATTGTTATGGCCTAAAATTTTAGAAAAGTTTAAAAAATTTGAAAGATGCTTTCAAGGGATGATATAATTTTTGATGTCCTAATAGCCAATTCTGATGAGTTGTTATCATTGTTTGTGCATTATGAGAGCACATCTTATTTTCATACTGAGATTCCCTGTTTTCCAGCTGGGATATTTTTGTGGCTAGTATATAATTTTGTTAGAAGGTATTTGTAAGATGCAGGGCATTTGTAAAATTGTTATTACCATCCCTGCTAGATCTACATTTTCTGTTTAATATCATCTGGTTTTTTGTCAAGCAAAGCAGCTAGAGCTATATCTTTTTAAATTTCTTACTTGATTTTTAGATTATGTTTATGTGGAAACCCAGCCAAGTCATCCATATCAAATAAGAAGGATTGAAGAACTTACAAAGGTGATATTTTTATAATTTTCAATGTAGCAATGGATTCATTTTTTTATTCATTTTTTAGATGAACAATTTGCTTTTTCTACTTAAAAATAACTGTTAATTAGTTTGTTTGTGTACTTCATTTTTTGCCAAGTTGTGCATAAAAGAAAATCAAAATGCAGTCTAGAATTGAGATGTAGTTTCAGAGAGAAAGCATTGCTGAAGCTAACATAAAAAACTGAATGATGTTATTTTCTTTGATTGCATTTTCATTTCTTCCGGGAGATATTAAAATTCTTGGAAAGTTAGGCTACAAGAAAAATGTTTTAAAAAGTTCATACTGAAAGAAAATCAGTCATTCAGAAGCAATTGAAATCTTCTAGCTTTTAGTTTAAAGTTAATTGTGTTTAGATAATACCTTATAAAGCACAGAATAATATTTGAGAATTTTTCTTGGTAGACTGCAAATGGACAGGTGGAAGCAAAAGTCTCATGTTTCTACAGAAGAAGGGATCTTTCAAATGCTCTTGTTAGTCAGGCTGATAAGCATGCAAGTACGTATATCCATTCCCAAAGTTCAAATGTGTATCAAGGTAGAAAAATTGTGTCTAATATAAACACTGGCTGACAGTATAAACATTGGTTTCTGCTTCAGAAAGATGCAGTTCAGAAATCCGCACATTTTTAAATCGAATGCTGATATATATAAATATCAAAAAAATTATTCTGGAATTCTATCTGGGACATCAAAGCTTGAATTTAAAAATAGCAGTACTGATATAAAGAACAATTGAGTTATTTCTGGAACTGGAAGATAATTAATTCAGATCAAAATACTGGTTTTGTGGGAGGAAAAACACCTGAGATACTAGGATAGATACGGGCTTTAAGCATTGGTATTGCAGTTGACCACAGAAGGAAGAACCGCTCCACTGAATCTTTGCAAGCCTAAATTATGCAATTAAAAGTAGTTTGAAAGAATTAAATGAGTATAACAAATGGTAATTTTTGGTTGTCTTGTAGGCACTGATCTGGAATGAAAGACAAATGTATTCAGTAAAAGTATGTAACTACTAAAGTACTAAACTTTACACCTTTGTTACATATTGTTTTTGCTTTTTTAACAGTTACAGCTGAAGAAGATGAAGAAATTTATATTGGAGAAGACCAAACTGATGAAAAGTTGCATCAATTGAAGCACAGAGAAGTGTTTTTGTCAAGACAGCTAGAAATTATCAATGCTAATACCATTAGGTGGGTTATAATGCTATTAGATGTAGGCAATATTTGACTTCAATTTTATCTATATGATACTTATGTCATATCCTGTAATAGTAGAAACATGCATGTTTTTTATTGTTCCTTTGCTTGATACATCAGAAGTATTTTAAGTCATTATCCACAATTAAATTCCATTCAGTGACAGTGCTTGATATCATAGATTATAACTTTGTAATATATGTTAGTTAAACAAGTGTATGAATTGCTTTAATCACCCCTCACCCCTCTTTCAAGTAGCTGTTTGATAAAAAGAATATATGAAGAACCTTTCCATAGCGGTCACCTCTAAAACAACAGCCACTGAGATTGGTCCTGGAAAGTGGCTGCTGCTAGAGGTTCCACTGTATAGGTTTTACTCTTGGTGAATAGAATAAAACACTTTATTTGGTTGGTTTAATCATTAAGTGATTAAACCAACATACTTTAAGTGAGAAGCAAATCTCTCTTGTATTTGACAAAAGTTCTCAGAATGAACATGTCTACTAAACACAACTTTATTGATATGAAAGCAAACCTTTTTGTAATCTTCAGTCCTTCTATTTAATTTTAGGGGAAAGTGTTCTGTTACCTTATACAGTGAGATAGAAAAATTGTATGATTACCTCGAAAAGGAGGTAAATAAACATCACATCATTATCATTATTTCTTCACTATTTTTGTCCTTATTTTTTCATAACATGTCTCTAATTCCTTCTTTAATGAAAAGAAAAAAAGATGAGTTCTAATGTTTAATATTGGTTGTGGAGTACTGATTGTTGTTGACTTATATGGTAAGGGTTGCAAGAGGACATCACTTGAAATGTCGCCATTAAATAACCAATTCAATGAAATTACTATATAGCAAAGAAAATGCCCAGCTTCAGAGACAATATTGATATGCCAAAGCCAGAGTTCTGAAACATTTTTCCAGACAATTTAATGCAGGAATATTGTTACTTGCAAAACATGTTGAAGATAGCAAAATGCAAGTCTAATTTTTTAAAGTTAATTTAATTATATAGTCTGCTGGTTGCTCCCAGTGGTAACAAGTTTATTTTGTTGACATCTGTTGCTATTAGGCAACATGTAGAGCTTTTGCACTGTTGTTCACTGTTTTTCATGATTTTTTGAAATTTGGATTAGTTGTTTATAAGCTTTCCATAGTTTTTGATCCATAGTTTCATAGCTCAGCGATTTTTTGTCTTCCTAATTCACAGGACTGGTTCTATTACCTTCTGGTTTATGATCCTCAGCAAAAAACTCTTCTAGCTGATAGAGGAGAGATAGGAATTGGGGATGAATATCAATGCGATGTTCCTGAATTACTGATGGATCGTGAGTAATAAGCTTTTTAGAGGTCACGCCATTATCAAGGCTTAGATAGAGCTGTGCTAAAAATTGTGTGTTTATAAACACAATACCTTTTATTTATTTCTTGAAACCTCATCATAAAGATTGTGTGATGTACATTTTTAAAAGCACCAATAAGGGTCAATTTATTTTTTGGATACAGGGATGCCTCAGTGGTTAGGGTCGTGGATTACATATCTGCAGGGCAGATTAAGAAAAATCGCTATGCGAAAGTAGCTAACTATGCAAAAATAGCTCGACTAATATTTCACTTGGCATAGAGAGCTTCATTAGAGCTACCGTTTAATCGATAAGGTGATAAGTTGGTCAGGTGATTCGTTGATTAGTTTGATTAGCTGCTACTTTGTCATAGCCTTTTTTGGATTTGTTGCCTTCAATAAAAGTAAATCTTGTAGACGTGAGAAATGTTAATGTTTTGACTTAAAGACGAAAATCATGTATGTAGAAACAGCCAGCACATCTTTTTAACGAATGTTTTATATCTGTTTTTAAGGATGATAATTTTCTCTCAGCAGCAAAAGATGATGGCAGGAAAACAGACTGTTCTGATTTAGAGACGCTGGTCTGGAACCCTGAAAATGGCTTGCATGATAAAAATATTGACAATTTTTTGGTTCTAGCAAGGTACAATATTTTCTTTAGCTTTTCAGCATCGAGTTTCAGCAGCAGTGCTTCATATCAGTAATTGTTGTTAATGTCATGTTTCATTGATGTAGACTGTTGTGATGTCTTATTTTGATGATAAAATCTTTGAGATATGGTTGCATGTCTTGTCTTTATAAATCATATTTTCTTAAGTCTTAATGCAATCATTGTGTTCCTGAAATTACAAAGCACGTCTTTTCACGCAAAGATAAAAGTGAGCACTTTAGTAAAATCGTAAGATCGAAACAGTGCCCTAATTTATACAAGTCACCGTCTTGTACTTTAATGGTTAATTTCTGTGTCAAGATCGCCGAGTTTCATATCTGAGAATACCAAATAGAGCATTACTATCAATTGGATTTTACAGCTCTGTAGGCCCACTTCACCTTTGTCGTTTGAGTAGACCATTAAGTGAATTATAATAAGTATAAAAATAAGGTTTTGAAGATGGGATAACCTTTTTTATCTCCAGGTCCATCGGAACTTTTGCACGTGCATTAGATTGCGGAAGTGCAGTCAGGGAGCCAAGCTTGCATTTAAGTGCCGCGGCAGCATCAAGGGATATCACTCTGGTATGCCGATGTTGAAATTATTTTTGTCTCAAATGAGCTACTCAAAATTCATGCTATAGTTTTATTTCTCTTGCCACCTTACGTGGTTACAAAGCTTCAAGATTTTGGAATCAATGGCTGGAAACCTTGCAGCCAAAGCTACTATTTATTCTCAATAAATCTCGTTTACTACAATTCGATTCGAATCAAATTTATTAAGAAAATACAAGAATACGGGTTATTGACAAAACATCAGGATGGCTAGAAAAATGGAAACACGATGTATTATTACACTGGAAATCTTCTGAGTATTATAACTCTAGTGAGCTATAGGTGAACGGAAATCTTTTATCCAGCTACCCATCGAAAATTACCTTTATAGCCACGCGATTTGTAAGTAAAGAAATAACCACAATTAAGCAAAGATGCAAAACTAGGAAGCAACACCTACAACTTGATGTGATAATCGTCTTTAATGTTTAAAAAGATCAATTTATGCGCATTTAAGGCTTTTGGCAAGCAAGATATTATCTTGTAGGGTTTCCTAGACGATTCACTGTATATTTGCTAATAAAATTTGTAAATACTCTCCTGTTTAAGAGGTATCACATAAAGAAAATCATTTCTCACGGCTTTATCATTTATATATAAGTTATTAGGTTTAGGATTTTGGAAAAATATATTTTGTTTAATAATTCGAAATGTGAAATGTGTCTAGATTACCATTGACAAAATTTTTTTCAATATATGTTGAGCCTTGTGTCTGTGTTTATCTGTTTGCTATTTTTGATACTTCCTACAAAGGCAACTAACAAATTATTCAATGTCCCTTTTTAGTTCCATGCTATGAATGTTCTTCACAAGAATGGTTATGATATGGGAAAAGCAGTATCAGGCTTTGTCTCAGACGAAGGTCCCGTTTTATGTAGAGATGAGATGGAAGAATGGTCTTCAGGTATGTTGTATGAGATGTCATGTCCACAATCTACATAAATTGAACGTGCCTCTTCCTCCCTTCCAGCTTGAAAGGCACATCCACAAAGGAGTGTCGTAAAAGTATATTTTTGGACAAATAGATCTTCAACTGCAAGGTGATAAAAGCTAAGAGAATTATAGTGAAAACGGGACTGCTTGATGAGATCTCTGCATTGCTAAGCCCTTGTGTTATTGTGTAGGTAGATCGGAGCTTTAGATTTGCAGATTCAATATTTAGATCCGTTTGTCCTCTACGGTAGATATAATTAAGATCCGTTTGTCCTCTACGGTAGAGCTACTGATTAAGTCTAATGTGTTTATCAAAGATATCTTGCTTGCTAGATTCCTTTTAGTTTTGAACCAATCAATATTTTATTGAATAAAACAATGCCGTCACAAGGAAAGTTTTGATTCAAAAGTTTTTATTTTGTTATTGCGCTGCGAAGAACAAGACAGTTCTTAGTTGCTTCTCTGATTTCAAACTCAGGTAACAGCATGTGTTTTCAGTGATATTTTAATTTTATGTATTCAAAATTGTTTTTTTTCTCAAAAATTCGGGAAATATTTCCTAGCATTATAGGTTTCACCAAATTTTACAATTAGTGCAAAAAGAACTTCATTATTTCTAGGAATACTCATTTCAAAGTAAAGAAAAGGCACCTAAAAGTAAAGAGAATGTTTTCAAAAGATTTTAAGTTTGATGTCATATTGTCATTAGTATATCTTTTCTTCTATATTACAGGAGAGTCCAGCCTGTTTGAAGAGGCCGTGAAAAAGTTTGGAAAAGAATTCACGGATATTCAGCAGGAATATGTAAGTATTATAATTTACTGTCATTTACGAAGCTCCTGCAAATTTTCAAACACAGCTCATGACATTTTAGCAAGTAGGCATTTTAGCACGTAGGCACATCTATCAATATTGTTGTTTAAAGAACAAGACGGTTCTAATTTTTCACAATATGTTTTAGCTGCCGTGGAAGAAAATGGCGAGTCTTGTCGAGTACTATTACATGTGGAAAACAACAGACAAATACGTGCAACAGGTAAACACCCTTATGGCACATGTCATTCAGTTGCTTCTGATTTACAGTTAACTTGCTCGCTATTTATTACAATGATGAAAAAGCTTTGAGTATTTGATCAAGTAGCGTTGAGTGCCTAGCAGGGTTTTTAATGATTTTTCTAATGCTTTTTTGTTTCTATATTAACGTTGTTTTGTTTTTTCAGCTCTTTAGTCCTGGACACACCTTAGTGTCAAACATGTTATTTCAGGTCTTAGTGTAGGGTGTGGCTTATCTTTGTTATTCGTTTCTCGTGGGTCATTGTCCCTGTTTTCTCCAGACTTTTTGCGGCAAAAAAATACTTCTAGATACAATAGCCACTTGAATTTTAGTTATTGAATCCTGCCAAGTTTTTAATATTTATATTACGGCAATTTTGATACTTTGAAAACAAACTATCTGTTAAAGACTTTGACATGTTAGCCGAAAGGAAACAATGCTTTTTTCGTTGTTTATTCTTTTGACCAATTAACAGCTATTCCAAAGCCCCTCCTCTCTACATTATGCTCACATTAAACATAGTTCTATTTTTCTTCAGAAACGCCTAAAGGCAGCTGAGGGCGACAGTAAGGTCACCCAAATATTTATTCCCAGCAGGTTAGTTCACGTTTTTCTCTTTTTCCTTTGCTTTTTTATTCAGGTGTTTCATTTTTAATGCGTAGAGAATGAATGAATCGAATTCCGGGGCTGACCTGATGTTTTTTTATTTTGCAACAGTAACACTGCTGTAAATCTCACGTTGGCGGTTCAAGCAACGAGTCAATATCAAGTAACAGCTGGCGGAAATTTCGTCACTCCAAATTACATATGCGAAAGCTGTTTTGGTAAGATTGTTTCCTTCCACTTCCAAGTTGTAACAATGAAATGCCAAAATTAAAAACTGCTATGGACAAGATGCTTGTTTGTCAAGGCTTATATATCACATGCCTTCAGATGTTTTCTAATAGTTTAATGTATGCAATAGTTTAATCCAAGTTGAGTAAGGCCGGATTTAAGGTTGAAAGGGGGGGGGGAGGGTGAATGGTCATTTGATCCCACTTGGAAATGGCCTGGGAAGGTTAGAATAAGTCTTAAATTTTCCTTTAGATACGATGAATTGGAATCGTGCGTAATGTTTTCTTAGTTATCAGTTGCAATTGAAAATTTTGCTTTTGCCTTTTCCATTGTCAGTGCTTCGGTGTTATGTCCAGTTACCGTTACCATTTACCATTTACCTGGTGACGTCACTGGGAGCTTCAGCTCTTTGGCAAGATCGTGAGCTCTTAAGAAACAGACCTTTAGCTCTGTTTTAATGCCATCCACTCCCCCTTTGGCTTATAGGTAATGGTTCCGAATGCGAATTGTTCCGAAAACCGTATTCAAGATTTTTTTCCAATGACGCCAACCGGCCAATATGTTACTTTTCTTCCTCATATGAGCATTTTTCGATCATGATATACCGTATTTTAAAGTGTTTCTCAACTTTAGGGAAAGAGTCGGCCCTTTGGTATCCGTGGGGACCATCTACGTCGCAGTGTAAACTGTTTTTATGCAAAGAATGCTGGTTATATTGGAAGAAATATGGCGGACTTAAAAAGACAGCAAAGTCGACCAACCCATCACCTCTAGCAGAAGCGGTTTATAAGTGCAGAATTTGCAACAAGAAGTTCAATAGAGCTGAAAGGCTATCAAATCACATGGCCGCACACAAGGGCCTTAAGTGTACGTTTCCTGGTTGTGAAAAGGTAATGCTTTTCACTAATCCTTCTGGCTTTTCGTTCTACAAGTCTGCGATCATGTAGATTTTTGTCTATTTAAACCTTTTTTGCATTTTTGTCATTAGCTAGTTTGGCATGATTGTTGAATTAGTAAGGTGTAAACTTGGGAAATTATGACTTCCAATTGTTGGTGTGAGTAAAGTGTTGCCAGCTCTCTTTAAATGCTATACCATTGCTCGAAAACAATGTGTCTTTACTTGCCTTAAAAGATAAATTTAAAAAGATTCTTGAAAAGTATAAAGCCGTTGAATCCAATTTGTCCTTGTTTGTTGAACTTCCGAGTATAATTCTTTTGAGATGCTACTGTTGAAAGAAAAACTAAAAATAGACCTTTGTGGATGAAGAATCTGATTGAATTATTATATTGCTTTAAATATCAGGTATCTTCAAACAGAGATGAAATCAGTTGCATAGTTCCCTTATATTCCACGACCCTTTCTGTTCCAGATATACTTAATTGGTCTGCTGTTTTGTGTTTAAGCAGCAGAGTAATGATTCAAGCTGATTATACCAGTATTTCTTATTCTTGGTTTTTGCACTACCCCGAGAAAAGCAGCCATTCGTGTTTATTGGGCTTCCGTGTTAAATGAAATGAAATAAAAGATAAGATATTGTTATTGTTACGTATTATTTTGTTAAAGACTCATTGCTAACAATGGGCCTTTGCGAGCGTGGCGACGAACCAAACAATGGCAGTAAACTGTCTTCAATGGCAGTAAATTGATTTCAGACTGTCTAAAAATGCATTATGGGATGCTTGCGTAGCGCAATGGCTCATTGTTAGCAATGAGTCTTTAAATAATTGTGACATAATGAAACATGAAAATTATTTATCTGATCACTCGCTTGCTTTTCAGAGTTTCAGCTTGAAAGCGCATCTTAGCCGGCATCTTGCAATGCAACACAGCATGTTTAACGAAGCGAAGAAGCTGAAGGTGAAGACGCCCTTCGCAATGACCAGCACGGACTTCGCTAAAGTTTGCCGGTTCATCTGCCGCAGCCATACTCGCTGGCATCACTTTGCCAGAAATCCGACCGATTGCGTCAACCAGGCTGACGTTCGAGCAGAGTGTAAGAACAGCCAGTTTTTCTACTTACGAAATGCCTCTGCTTTGATTCGTCAATTGATTGTCAATGCCTGATTGAGTTGTACTGATTTAGTGAAACGTTTTTCTTCAATTAAATTACAAAATAATTTTATATAAATTATTATTGGATATTTTTCCTTTTTGGTTAATACTTTCAATCTAAATTGAAATTTTCGTTCGTTCGTTTTTATCAGCCCTTCGAAATTGTCTTATAAGTGTCCCTATTTCATAGGTGGTAAAGTTCTTACGCCTGAACTCGCCAAAGATCTATTTGACAAGAAAACAGAGAAAAAGAAGCCACTCAAAAGGAAATCCTTAGACGACGTCATCCAAGTTATGAAGAAGATTCAGAAAACGACTGGCATTAATGTGCAACGACCGCACATTATTTCGAGCATGCAGCAAGCCAAAGACTCGAACCCAGGCTCGTCAGGCATGCGCAAGCTCATGTCGCCCACGAAGACGTCAGTCAGTATGTTTGGTCAAACGCAGACATCGATGTCAGGCCATTTAAAAGGAAGGACTTTGAGAAGCCCACGCACAAACTCACCCGTTTCCACAGGCTATAAAAGACCGTTGGATGTTGCCCTTGAGCAGAATGGAATTGATGGTATTTAGCAGATAAATTATTCTTCAGTTTAAGTTTAAAATTCAACCGTACTGGAGTGTCTATAAGTTGCATTGTTTGGTCCAAAGTTTGGTCTCCATATTCAGGCTTGTGACGTTTACTTCTGTAAAGGTTGAAAAGGGGTACAAAATCTGGTAAGGTGACAAGAATTGCTTACTCGTTCCTGAAGTCATTCCAAAAAGAGATGAAATCACATAACCCTTATCGTAAATAATTCAAACACTAATACCTGAATTACAAAAATTACAGGTCTTTGACAAGTAAAGTTACAAGCAAATCTTTGATACCTACTCCAACACTGAAGATTCCAAAAGATAGGAAACAATGTAAATTAATTTCGTGCCAATTTTCCATCCTGAAGTAAAGGGGTGTAGCTTTTGAGCAAGTGTGAAGCAAGTTACTACTTTAGCTACTTCAGACTACTTTAGTTAAGTACATATTTCTTTTGACTTGTTTAGATTCAGCACCGTCTTCGAAGCGTCACAATACCGTCGGATCACCGGTCAACAGAAATGGATTTGATTGCCATGTTTGTGGAAAGATCTTCCATAGTCAAGGTATATTCCTTTTGTACATTATTACCCTAGCTAGTGCTGTACCCATTAAAAAACTGACTCCTGGCAGGTTTATTGCATAAGCATATCTCAGCAAAATAACTGCTGAGGTACCCAAAGTCCCTTCCAGCATCTGTCACGATGAGATATGTTTTTATCAAAGAGCACTGCTGTTTTTCGTAGTGTTATAAGCTTAAAGTTGAATGTAAATTGTTGCAAAGGTAACTGTGAGTCAATTTAATTTCCATTTTTACCCGTCCTGTTCCTTTTGACTCGTCTCTTCCCACAGCAGTCTTTGCCTACGGCCCTGCAGAGCACTGCAGTCAAGTTCTCCCTTAACCGTATTGTAGTCTCCATTTGGAACTTCTCCTTTGGTGGAATCAGAGGATTTACAAATATTTATCCGCAGTTGCTAGTTCTCGAGGCTAGTTTTCTGTCTGCCCCCAATAACATTGAACACCACAGAAATTCAGTCCGTTTCGTATCACGCGCTGTGTCTCTCACTTTACAAATTGTTTCTATACGGCAGATGTATTTGTGATTGGAGCCATTTCGTGGATGACTTTTGCTAATGAGATTTCTATTCTTCTTTAGTAAACTTGAGCCATCACGTCCAACTGCACGGAAAGGGCAGTACCCATTCTGTAATAAGCCAAGCAGCTGATGCAAATCGTTCCAACAGCAACTCGCCATACTACGATGGGAATTCGGGGACACCTACCCCAAACAGCCATCACAGTATCATACACCAGCCTGTCAACAAGACCCAAAAGGAGCCAATCACAAACGGAGCTCGTCAGCACGTACCCCAGGGTAAGGCACCCGGACCTCAAAAGGTTGGGCGTGGTTTTTCAACTATGACCCCACAAAAAAGGCCAACTGCCAGAAATGCTTCTGAATTTACTGGAAAGGAAGGTGATCCACATTACGTTGACCCTCCACAGGAATTCTTTTTCAAGTCCACTAAAGAAGCAAAGTATGAATCTTTTCATGCACACGTTTTCCTTGTTTATTTGTTCTATTTTTCTAAACATTGTAGCTTTCCTGTAGGTGTGGGCTTCTCCTTAGAGTGAAAAATTTTGTAAGGGTTAAGGGATGACCCAGTTGCGTGTGTAATATACTCACTTCAAGTAGCATGGTGCGACTAATGCATAGCGAATAGATTAAGGAGACTTGTCTATTGAATAATTTTCTGTTATGTTTTTTCTTTTATCTGGTTTTAGTTTAAAAAGCTAAAGTGAAGCGTTTTTCTTCGAGAGTGAAAGTGCAGCGTTCAGAAGCTCCCTTTGAAAATGAAGCTTGAAGTGTTTTTCCTTAGGTATTAGTTTATCATACTGCTATTTGACTACAGGAAGTCAAGACGCTCTTTGCCGCCCAGAGTGCAGAGAAAGATAGCCCGCAAGCCGTTTATTCAAATAAAATGTTCCCAAGAACTGAGAGACTCTATTATTTGCAAGAAGAATCAGAAAAAGGTTGGCAACGTTGAGACACCGATTGTCATTGACGATTAGTTGCTGGAGGGACAAGGTATTTTTTACGTTAACGAGGCAGTATGGTGACTGGCTGGAGCGCACCCATCGTCATTCTTATCATTATTGCATCGAGGTTCGGCATCAAGTGTGTAGGCAGAAAGACGGACAATCGGAGTCCATGAAAAACTGACACGGCCCAATGAATGGCCATGAAGACAGTGTTAATTCTGCGACTATCAAGTACACAGTTTATCTTATCAACATCATTTCCGAAAATATTATAGATAGTTACAAGGTGACTAGTGAATCTAGCTTGTTCATGCGTTTTGAAGGAAGGGGCTTTCATATTGTTAAACTTGTTGTTTAGTTGTTGAGGTAATGAAACATTTCTTATCCCTTTTGTCGTAATGGGATATTTTCAGCATACATAGCCTTTTATTGGTAGAGAGCTCGGTTTTGTAGGAAACTGGTATCTTGAATCGCATATATCTGCACCGCATATACTGAGCCCCAGGCTTCTAATCCTTTGTGACGTCATTTTTGAATATCACCAAATAATGGTTCGGGTTCACCACGCAAGATTTGAATAAGTAGCCCAATATTTACTCAGTAGAAATCAAGACAAAATACTAGTTATAAAATTTTCATGGCGCCCAGAGACATTGAGCATGGTATGGGTATGAAAGTTCTGAGTTTTTAATGTAGACCTCCGATATGGACTTATCGATTTCATTAACAAGAATTGTTAAGCGTAGCTAAATACTTTCCAGATCTCCTTGTAATTTAAGTCACGTATCATTATATTGTTAAAAAGCAAAGCTTGTTATTTTTGTTTCAAGTCTCCTGCGAAATTAGGAATCTGTTTTGATTTGGAATCTGTTTTGATTAATTAGCTTTATCAAAGGCCAATCTCATGCCTACCTCAATAACTCGTTCAGCACTTCCAAGAACTTATTTAAAAACTACAAAGCTTACTTAACCAGCCATTTTGTAAGCCTTCCCCGGTGGTCCTTAATTTTTATAACCCCCCCCCCCCCCCCACCGAGGGCAGTGACCGAGTTGTCCTTAAGCAAGGGACCAACAAGGTAAGTTTATCGATTGATAGGTAGTGCGTATAAACATTCCAGATCGATGAATCAGACGAACCATTATCAAGTTTTATATGACGCATTTTAAGGGTTGATCTGGTGAACCAAAAAAAGTAGCAAGGAAAAAGTATCAGTTTGTGAAACCACAGCGAAATCTTTGAATTGTTAACATCAACGGTATTAATTTTTGTGTGTTACCAAGAGCATGTATAATTTCAAGCTAAGGTAGAAGCTAGGGTTTCTGTGGTTGTTCTGGAGCAAAGACTAAGCTTTTACCGGCTTCTTGGCGATCTTCTTCTTCAACCTCCAGTAACTAACCACAGCTTGCCAAATTACTCATGATTGTCTTCAAAGCGCCTCTTCCTGACCTACTGTATGATTGATATATTTATATGAGGTAAAGAAGACGCAATTCTATGGGTTTGCCTGGAATTTTGTTAGGAATATCTGTGTCAAGAAGTTCATTTCAAGGGGTATATATATCTCAGCTGCCGTTTTGAGGGAATGAGCCGAGAAAAACACAAAATCGATAAAGTCAATACGATATAAATTATAGGTTAATATTTCGCCACGACACAGGCCTTTTTTTAACTGGAGAAATATTAGCTTAAGATTTGACTAACGCTATTTTTAAAGCAACAGTCTTTCTGCTTAAACCCATGTTTAAACTTAGAGCTTCGACAGAGATTTAAGCAACTGTTATTTTTAATCGGTGTTGAAATCCCATTATAGTAGTGATAGAACACTTGACTGATCTTCACAAATTTGGCTTTTGAATTGATCTGAAAGCAAATTTTCTTATAAAAAACCGATTTAGATAAATGCCAATAATTGAGTCCAGAGGAAGGCATATGTACCCGTAAAATCAAGATTCCCAAGCTTTCCACTAGGCATTGTTGAAGAAAGGAGAATTTAAGAGAGAGATTAGAAATTAGAATTGTCCATGTGGTTAAAAATTCAGTGAAAGCCTTTTCATTGCGAATATCTTATGATGCTTTTGCAAATACCTTGTTTTTTGACAAAGGTATTACCTAGCCACCTGCGCATCAACGCTCGAATATAATGGAAGGACGATACCTCATTAACAAGCAAATTAAGTCCTTTGGCGAGGGATCCTAGAAACCAGGATTGAAACCAAACATTTGAAGCTGCCGTTAGGCCTGTTTGCAAGAGCGGCCTAGCCTAAAATTTGTGTGATGACTAGCAAAATGTGCAGTTAAATTATGAAAATATTAAGGAAATTTTAGCACTACAATTCAATCAAAAATATTCCAAAAATTAGGACTTCAAGGTTCTATATGGCCAGGCCTCGAGCTAAGCTCCTTATAAAAAGCGTGTAATCTGCAAATTTCAAATCTGTCATTGACCAGATCTCATCCGATTTTTGATACATTTAACTGATGTTGCATATTTTGGAGACTTTTATGGTGTTCTTTTAGGTTATATGGTCAAACTTTAAAAATTCTTAAAAATTTTTTATGACGTCACACTTAAGAACTTATGCCACCGCGCCTTGTCCTATTTGAAAATTGCGTGGGCGCGAGGTCTCCTCAAAACATTTCCTGGTATCCCTGTTTCACCCGATTTCTTCCACGCTGATCGAGTAGAAGAGAACGCGAGTTGATGCAGGAAGCAACCAGAGTGGGAAAACAGGAGAAACTAGCCTGAAGACAACAAGCAAAAGTCAAATTTTATCATTATGGCTGACACTGATAAAAGCCAATTGATTGGCAGCCGTGAAGAGCGCGATGCTGTTGGAGAACGAGCGACTGAGTTGTGTCCATTGAAAATCGATCTTTCAGGACCTGGATTTCAAAACCTTACGGAAGAAAGCGTCCCTACCTCACATGGAAAAGTTCATGTTGCAATTCAGGGAGATCGTATTCATAAATCTACCATCATAACACTTCACGATATAGGCCTTGATTACATAACCTGCTTTCAGTCATTTTTCTGCTTCCACCAAGTTCAGCCTTTGCTCAAGCACTTTTGTGTCTTTCATGTAAATTTCCCAGGTCAAGAAGAGGACGCAGCCCCTTTCGACGAAAACTATGTTTACCCTACCATGGATCAAATGGCAGACGTGATTAAAGACATAATCGATTACTATAAAATCAACTGCTGCGTATGCCTTGGTGTTGGTGCTGGTGCAAATGTGTTTTTGAGGTTTGGTATGAAGTATCCCGACCCAGTCGAAGGCATCGTCCTGGTTAACGGGACTTGCAACGCCTCGACATGGACAGAATGGGGATACCAGAAGGTAAGGGTCCCGATTGGGTGTAATTTTGATTAACCGGACAAAATTCAACAGCTATCTAAGTAAATTAGGCTAAATGATGATCAGGAAAAAGCTCAGTAACGCAATGTCAGCAAAATTTGACCGAAAGTTAAACGACTGTTGTTTTGTAAGGTTATTCGCTTTATTGTCATTATAAAATTAGACCAAACAAGAAATGATTTTCTATCCTTCGTGAATATAATACAACCATAGTTCGTGCACGAAATCGTGCAGAAGAACACGTGGATACTTCATTTGCTGAATGTTTATCTTATTTGGATGAATTGTTTTAACACCTGGCAAAACAAACGACTTAACTATGAGCTTAGATAGCAAGACATGCTTGTTGTGCTTCCGAGGCTCAATGATAACATTGTTCTCATTTTTTCATCAAAGGTTCAATTGCAGCTCCCCTTTTAATTCTTGTATGAGTGTTTTGATTTTTTTGTCCTTCTTTTATTGGGAAAAAGATAAATTTAGCGTTTAATTGAGAATTCAAAAATAAATTTGCTCTAATGTTTATTTTTTGTTTTTATAGGCATAGAAGGTAAACACTAAACAAAAAACGTGTGAATAAAAGTGTAAAATCCAAAATAAAAAAAATGAGAAAAAGGAGATGATGTTTTTATAGGCATAGAAGGTAAAAACTAAGAAACCAGTGAATAAAAGTGTAAAATCAAAAATGGAAAAATGAGACAAAAGGAGATAAGGAGTGGTCACTACTACCTGGTTACAGCCTCAGAAGGGGGTGGCTGTGTGTGCCCCTTGTATGTTTTGGGCAGTTATCTTGAAAATGGGCAGAAAATGATAAAAAAGCTACTCATCAGCCAGAAACCCACAAGGGGCATAATATTTTTAACCTAGTATTTGATAAACCTTGCATTTGAAGGCAGTTTTTTAAGGTTTTAGGACAATGAAAAATCTTGATCTAATTCTTTCCAAAAATACCTTTCATTTAGAAGTTTAAGCTTTTTATTGCAGCAACTGTTTCATTCCTTTTCATTCTAGCATTTTGCCATTTTATTTCTTTAGTTGTCATCCCATTACTTGAAAGGAAAGGGCATGACCAAATTTACAGAAGATTACTTGCTTTGGCACTATTTTGGAAAAACAGATGAGACACAGCATTCCGATTTGATGACAGTGGTCAGAGACCATCTTCATCGCATAAAGAACACCAGAAATTTGGCATTGCTCATTGATTCATTTGTGAAACGAAACAGTATCAATATACATCGACAGACAGGATCCCAAGCAAAGGCAGTTCACCCAAATGCTCTTTTGCTTTGTGGCAGTCATTCTCCCTTTCTTGACGAAACTGTAGATCTCAACTCAAGGCTAGACCCAAGAATTTCCACTTGGATGAAAATCTCAGATGCAACTGGCATGGTCTTAGATGAGAAGCCAACTGTTGTTGTCAATGCACTTATTTTGTTTTTGCAAGGACTTGGTCATGGTGAGTTTTTTAACCAATCAGGATGGTCTATGAACAGATAATTTTATATTTTGTGAGCATGGTTCAGTAGAATGAGTTAATTACATACAAATTGGACCTTAGACACCTTAAACACCATTATAATAATTTTGTATGTTCTAAGAAAACAGAAAAGCATTCATATATTCAGGGTGCTTGTGTTTCTTGAAATGTAAAATGTAATAGAGTTTTTTATTCACCAGCAGTTGTACAGTCAGTTGTTTAAATCAGTTTTTATAAACAAATACAGAATGGAGGCTAATTAGCTTCTCTCAGACATCTTGCATATATTTGTAATTCCTAAGCAAACAAAGTGCATGGCTTTGTGGTCCTGCTTGTAATACAATTTGATTTTGTTTCACAACTAATTTAAATTTACATAATATCATTTTGAAATAAATTAAAAAAGTTTAAAGAGCAAAGATTCTGAAGATCATTTTAATTAAATTGTTCCTGATTAGACTTATGCGTAAAATATACAACAAGCTCTTTTCCTTTGCATTTGATGATGGAAGTGACCTGTCAAGGTATAATTTTTATTTTTCAGAGTTCCATATGCATTATAAACTTAAATTTTCAGCAAGTATTTCCTTAGCACAATAGTGTATAAATAGTTATTAAAGCTAGATCATTAACACTTGATAGATATGGCTTTACAATCATCTTGTGTGGTGTTTTTCTATTTTAATTTCAAGCTGAATATTAATAAGTGTGCTTGCCTTTTTCATCTTTCATTGAATAGTTTGTGAGGTTAATAATCTTATCTATGATTGAATATAAAGTGCTATCAGAACAAACTATTCTTAATACCAACTAAGCTATATTGAAATTGAAATTTGAATTACAGGTGCAAATTTGAGGCCTCCATCTTTGTCTATTGGAAGTGAACCAGATACTGATGTCTCAAGCACTCTATCATAAGAGGGTATATATTGTTTGAATAATCAGTTTGATGTTACTTTTTTACTTTATTGTTCTTTTTATTTGTGTTGTTCTTGCTTACTGATATTAAACATTTCATTTCATTGCAAGATTCTTAAATTTTCCTTTCATTGGTTTTTTTAATAGTCTAGATAGATAGATAGATAGATAGATAGATAGATAGATAGATAGATAGATAGATAGATAGATAGATAGATAGATAGATAGATAGATAGATAGATAGATAGATAGATAGATAGATAGATAGATAGATAGATAGATAGATAGATAGATAGATAGATAGATAGATAGATAGATAGATAGATAGATAGATAGATAGATAGATAGATAGATAGATAGATAGATAGATAGATAGATAGATAGATAGATAGATAGATAGATAGATAGATAGATAGATAGATAGATAGATAGATAGATAGATAGATAGATAGATAGATAGATAGATAGATAGATAGATAGATAGATAGATAGATAGATAGATAGAGATAGATAGATAGATAGATAGATAGATAGATAGATAGATAGATAGATAGATTAGATAGATAGATAGATAGATAGATAGATAGATAGATAGATAGATAGATAGATAGATAGAGATAGATAGATAGATAGATAGATAGATAGATAGATAGATAGATAGATAGATAGATAGATAGATAGATAGATAGATAGATAGATAGATAGATAGATAGATAGTAGAACAGAACCTTAGTTGCAGCCTTTAAGTGAATGATCTGGGTAACAAAGGCGGTTCTCCAACCTTTTCCTGTTGTGGTGAAAACAGATGCCATCATTATCCTAAAAAGTCCGTTTTTCAATTTAATGTAAGCTTCTCTTTGATCAGTTTTCACCAGATCATAACCTTGTCTGAATTGAAGTGGACAAGCTGTTGTTCGCTTACTATTTTTAGCAGTGACCTTCTAGCTCAGGCCATTTGTTTTAGAAAGTCCTTAGTAACATTACCTTTCCATTATCATTTGAATTTATTTAGTTGTCTTATATGTTTTACCAATTGCATTATATTTTCCCCTCAAATCACTTTACTTGTTTAAAAATATAAAGAGTAAAAAACCTTGAGAGGAGATTTTTCCACTCTAAAGTCTAAACTATAGGCCCTTGTCTTAAACAGGTAAGGAACCTGGGGTTGCTCTATGCCGTCACCACCAAGTAATATGCCACATATCTGCTGCCAGACGATTATGTGCTTATCTGGCTCTTAGAAATTGCTAGCTAGTTTTTACTGACTCAAGTGGCAAGGGGGGTCCATCCTATTAAGGAATATTGTGGTGCAACATTCCTCCCTTCAGCTTCTATGTAACAAATTTTGGATAAAATGTTGCTTTTGATAAGCTTGTTATTGTTAAAAGGTCACTTTTTCTCTTTGTCTTTTAAATTGCCGATAATATCTTGTTTCTTTACTTGTTACTGATATTATCTGATATTGATAGTTTCTTTTCTTGCCATTTTGATAGCATTGCTGAGACAGTGTCAACAGAAGTCAACTCAGGAGGAAGACAGTGAATAATGCACTTTCACTATGAGATTGCACAAGAGACAATTAATCAATAAATTATTTGCTGCTCCAATGTACATATGATTGGATATTTAATTATGAATATTTAACACTTGCACAACAAAATAGATTTTAGCTGTTGCTGAAATAATTTGATAAAAAACTATGCTGTCAACCAAAAATGTTAAGGCTATTATTGTATGTTGCTGTTTAAGTTGCTGAACACTTTAGGTATTTATTTTCAAAACACGTAAATACTGTCAGAATATGAGTGATGTGTTTTTTGGATGGTGTGCTGATAATTTTGTGATTTCTCTGTTGCCCCTATTTGATATTTTTGTGATCTATATTGATTTTCTGTTTGAAGAAGCTGTTGTTTCAATGTTTGAAGGTAGCTAATGTTTGAAGAGGCTGTTGTTCCAGGCACCGCGGGGCGTTGAGAAAAGTAAGGGGTCTAAAAAAGTGGGGGGTCTAAAAAAGTGGGGGGGGAGCTAAAACTGTTGAAAGAGAGGCTTTACTGGTAGTTTATTACTTAATATTTGGCATTGTTTGCAAAAAGTGGCTAAAGCCACCCCCAGCCCCCCTGCTCTTTGATGCCTGTGTTCTCTTCCTGTGCTTATCTAGGAAAGAATGCTTATCATTTTTCATATGCAGTAACAAATTGCGAAGAACTTCAGTTTCATAAGTCATTAGTTTGTTTCATATTAAATTTAAATGCTAATTTCATTATAAAATGCAAGATGGCTCAAATATGGCTGGTCGTTTGTAACAATGTTCAAACATGCACTGTTTATATTCAACAAAGTCTGTTTCATTCCCAACCCATCTTTTGGCTCCAATTTACAAATTTCCGCTGACGATTTGCTTCATTTTCAATGCAATACATCAAGTTTATATTCAATTAGTTTTATTTTATATTTAATTTCTAACATTTTATTAAATCCTTGAAATTTATATATAATCTTAATTGCTATTCAATCCTCAAATTTTATATTTTATCCTCAAATTTTATATTTAATCTTATTGGGAAGGAGGGCGTTAGTTTGAATTCAAGGGCATCATGTTTTGGCGGGAAAGGAATGAGACCTTGTATGCCATCAACCTATTGCAGTCAATGCAATACCTTGGGGCTTATTCGAGGGTGGGGGCTTATTTTGAAATAATTACTTAAGGTTGGGGGCTTAATCAAGGGGGTGGGAGTTTATTCAAAGTTTATACTCTGTAAAGCGTCACACAAAAAGTGCTTTGTTTCTGGTATTTCGTGCGGTTATCAGGTATATTTGTTTTTTAGGCTTTTACGCGGTAGAATTGGCTAAAATCTCAATAGCACTATTGGTTAATGCAATCATATTTTGCTTCATTTGAATAACTTAATATTTTAGAATTTACGAAAAATAGAGCTTTTTTCATCATGCTGTGAGCTGTTAGAGAATACTTCGTCATGAACCAAGACACATCGTTTTTCTCAGTGATCAACCTATAGGCGTTTATTCCATAAATGTAGCACCTGATATTTGTATATTTGTGACAATTTGATAGTAATTTGGTGTAAGACAGTTGTTTCTTTTTCCCGCTAAAACACTGCGGCCTCGACTTCAAATTAATGCGCTCGTTCTTAGTAAGCGTAAATGTAAAATTTGAGAATTGAATATAAAAATTCGAGGATTGAATATAAATTAGGATGAAATTTGAATTTCCAGGATGGAATAAAAATTTTTAGGATTGAATGTAAAATTCAAGGATCTAATAAAATCGTTTTAATGGTTTAATGGAAAAATTGAACATAAACTTGATGTATATCGAATTAAAAATGAAACAAATCATCCATGAAAATGTAAAGTGAAGCCAAAAAATTGAGTTAGGGAATGAAAATAAATTTGGTTTTATATAAGCAGGGCATGTTTGAATATTGCTACAAATGGCGAGCCATACTCAAACCAATAATAGATCAAAAAATCTACATTAACAATAAAACATTTCATCAGATAAATTTTGGGCAATTTCGCCGAAAAAATTAGCAACATATACCAAAATCCTAAGAGGCAAAATCATTTAGGTAGCCTTATATTAAATTCCATCTATATCTATGTGGCATGGAAGTTCATAAACAGTATAATTAAAATTGTGAATATAAGTATAAGATTCGGAAAGCATAAGATCCTCTCCAACAGGAAAAGTTGGTCTCGAAATTAAGCTTTCTGTAGAGTTCAAAATTTGGGTTGAAAAGTGCAAATACCTTGAACAAATCAAGAAATAAAATGGCACAGTTAGAACAGAAGTGTAGCCAGGGTAGTAAGATTTGGGGGAGGGGTGGGGGTGGTGGGCAAAGGCGAGTTGAGCAAGGAACATTAGGGTCCTCACCCTTTTGGACCCAAGATAACGTCTTTTTCAACCAAACCAAAGAGATTTTTTGCCATAAGGGGTGGCGTCCGCCCCCTCGCTACGCCACTGAGCTAGAACTATTTTTATCGAACGATGGTGAAAACGAAGTTAGTTCAAGAACCGACAATAATGAAGATGATGATGCCTACAATAAAGATATTTATTAAGATGATGTAAATGAGGAAAATGACGTCATTGAAACTGAATAGATCAAAAGGATACATAAATTTGATTCTTGACCTCATGTATCGTAATTGCTTTTCTATGCGAATTATCAAAAATCTTAAATGCAAAAAATTTCGTAGTGACAAAATTTCGTCTCATTTTGAATTTAGTCAAAGAAAATTTCGTCAAAATATTTCTCCGGAATTTTGTCACGACGAAATTTTTATAGTTAATGTATGGTATAGTACCACCAATACCAATCGTACCACTGATTATCCAAAGGAGGCCTTTCGTAGAAAGAGGTTGAGGAAAAACCAAAATTGTCAACAAGGCCTATTCTTACGGGTAAAAAATGTTGTTACTCGGAGGGTAATCTTGACCCATTATGATGTGGTTTTTTTGAGTAAGATGAATTATAGATGAGTAAGTTTCATTATTTGCTCTTTTAAAATGTCTTGCCGGTTAATATTGCGCAGTTCGATAACGGATTTCAAGGGACTAACTACTTATTTGAAAGATGGCCAAGAATCGCAAATGTGCCCGCAAGGAGAAGATCAAAACAAAGACACCAGACATGGTAAGTACTCACTTCTGTGATGTTGCAGTTATAAATTCTATTGGAAGAGATAGAAGAAGTGAGAAAGTTATATTTTAATGAAACCTAGTGTGTACTGAGAAATTTGCAAGAAATTACATACACTATTAATATTTTTGGATGAACCTTGTCGTTATCAATTAAAAAATTGGATTGGATGAGTTTTGCATGCTGCTTGTCATCTTTTCATTTTTGTTATACGTATAAGCTTGTTGTGTTAAAGTAGTAGCTTTACCATTTAAATTGACAGTTATGCAAATAATTTCTCTACTCATTGCAGGTCATAAAGATGATTCAGTTAAACAGGTAAAGAAAAAGTTTTCATAAAATTATTAATTTTGTTATTGCTGAGTATCCCTAAAGACGTGAATGAACTAAAGTACCTCTCAGGACGTGGACCTTGATATGAAACCTTATAAAGCGTTATGGTCAGAGTCTGGGAGGTAAGTTAGTACTTTACTGCCCTGATAAATAAGTGCATTAGCATTTTTGGCTTTATATCATGAACCCCAGTTTAAATGTTCTAAGGCACACAAATTTATTAAGACATGTTTTGAAAGAATTTTTGGTACAGTCCAAACAGCTGTCTTAAAAATCTTTATCGAATAAAAGTTTTTTACCTGTAGTAGTTTAATTCCGAAAGCAAATAAATATCTTGATCATTTAATGACAATCACCTGGTCACAGAAGCTGAATTTAATAAAATTTTCATGAATAAGCTAATATTTGCAAAAACGTTCTCAAAGATTTTGTGAATGTATTTTAAAATTTGTTTTTTCTTTTTGTGGAAGGAACCTCAAGCAAGAAGTCCTAGCAAGCCATCTTCATTTCTTTCAAGCTGCTTCTTGTCTCTTTCACCAACTGAAGATTTGATGGTAATAGCAAATAAGAAAAGAGCAGTATTTATAGCAAGTAAGATGTATTTGTTATTCAGAATTTCATCATTCTTAAATCCATGTATTATACATCGAATAAATCTAGAAGTCTGGATGTAAGAATGCTAATTGGCAGTCTATACAGGTCTGGATCAATGAGGTTTATCAGCCTCTTTGAAAGTGACCAACAGGCAATTATGTAGTCATTTCAATCATTTGTGGTCCTGACCAAACAAATATTACATAGCAATATTTTTAGATTCAGAATATAAATTGATGATTACAAATCATTCTGAAAAATATTAAATTGATATTTCATATACGTGGTTGAAACTGCTTTAATGGGAGATCCCTTGTAACAGTCCAGTGGCACATTGTAATGGTTCTAGTGGTAATCTCAGCTATATGCCTTAATGATTGACATTTGATTTAAAAAGTTTTTGTTTACAGAGAAATGTTCTCCAAAGTCAAAGGATGATCCACACCTTTGGAATGATGTTTATTGGAAAGGAGAGTTGTGTCAAGATGAAGAGTAAGCTATTTTTATTCCATCAATTTTTTGAAAACACTTTAATTTGATGGCCTTCTTTGTATTTAAATCTTGTTGGTAGAGTAATTTTTTCACTTTTTCAATACGAAGATGTTAATTCCAATAAATACATTTTCATGAACCTAGCACCTGAAATTTTAATGTAACTAAAACTTTTGATAAATCTAACCTTTCAGCTAATCAAGATGCCCTTGAATGTTTTGAACTCAGTATTAATATCTTGTTTGCAATTATAGCCTCATGTTTATCAAACTTTCATAGAGAACAAGTCTCTGCTGTTTTATGCGTACCACTTGCATCACAGCAAAGGTAAGAAAATTCATTTGCTCATGTCAAATTTTTCTCAGTTCAAACACTATCTTTGTTGGCCAAGCCATTTTTTATTTTTAAAACATGAAGCCTACAAATGTCCTGTGATTGTAGAGAGATTTTCTTCTGAAAGGAATAAGTATTTTTGTTTTTAGTTTTCATCAAAGGGAGTTAAGCAATTTTTTTGAGCACTCAGAAATTTCTCCAAAGTTGAACTTGTTTGCCAACAAAGTATTGCATTGCGATCAATTCTTTTGGAACACATTATAAATAAAGCTATTTTAGCACATAGCTCTAAGACTATTTGTTAATTAAATAATACTAAGAACATTCTTTAAAGTTCATGATTGTGTCAGTTTTAACAATATTTTGTGCAAACAGCTATTGTATGAATCCCATGGTTAATTTCTGTAGTTGTTGTCAAATATTTTTAGTTGCAATGTAACAACTCTATGGGTTAGGATTCTTAATAATATTTGAAGGATAAATCAATATTCAGAAGAAGTCAATATTTTGAACATTCAGTAATATCAAGAGTTTCATTCATTCTTTTGCCTTATTTTTTTGTGACACCATTCAGAGACAATTAGCATTATTCAAAAGTTTAATATTAGATTTATTGTATAAATTAAAGTTACAGCTTTTTTCTCAGGTCATCTCAAGGTTCTCCAGACTGCTCTTGTGTTATTGTTGGATTCACATCAGGATATGTCAGAATATATCTGCAGGTAGAGCCCATTATGTCTTTAGCATCTTGGTATTTATTGTATGAATCTTAGAAGGCTTCATGCAATAAATCATCTTCATAATGTATGCGAATGGTGCTTCATTCCTGCTTCATTTTGCTTTGACCCTCTGACCTCATTTGGACCCTAAATTGAATAGATCTTAGAGAAAGATTGACCCACCAATTAAGTGGGTCTCCTGTTTATTAGATTTCTTAAGTGGAAAAATGATTGCTGGGCACCATTCGCATGCATTTATAGCTTGAATGAAGCTGATAAGCAGAAAATGAATGCTTGTAAGCATGCATAGATTGCAATGTTAAGGATGTCATATAACTATATTAGATATGAAGTTATCTTAATAGATAAAACGATTTTCAGTTAGATACAGCAAATTCTATTTTATTTTATATCAACATCAGATAATCAAGACAGAAACAAAAATTAAACATAACATATTGCTTTCTGGTTTGAAATCCATAGCCCAATATTTTTCATATGTAGAGCTTGCTGATACAAATAGATCCCTTTATTTCATCTTTTAATATTTGCTTTTTTGAGACAACAATGCTTTATGCAATTTTTCTGAACTTGCTGATTTTTTTCAGACTGGCGTGCAGTTGTTATCTCAATTTCTTCATGATGGTCCTGTCAGTGGACTGGATTTGAGAACCAAATTATCAGTAAAAGATGCAAACTCAATTGATCAGGTGAAATTTTGTTTTCTTTGCTATGTTATAAAACCTTGTGTTAGATTATTGTTGACAATTCAACTGACAAGGTTGCTTTGTTGATGTCCAGCTGTGTTGCCATGATGTGAGCCTATATAAAGTGTTGTTATTTCAAGTGGTTTGCTTTAAAGGCCTTTGATAAACCTCTAATAAGTATACAGCATTATCTTGTGTTTCAGTTTACATACTGAATCAAGTTTGCAAAATTATGAATATTTTGGTTTGAAAGGCCCTTTAAGAAGCTATGTAGGCCAAGCCTTTGAATAAGATAGTGAGTGTACCTGCCCCACAATTTGAAAATATAATGTCTGAACTTTTCGCTAGGAATGAATTTATTATGAACATTTCTGCCTTTTGGTCGAGTTTTATATCGGTTTTTAAAGCTTAAGTGTGTTGTTAAGTTCCATAGTATGTTTATAGCATATGTCGTTAGAGAAATCTGGAAAGTAACAAAAGGAATAAATCCATTTTTCTCAAGCCTGTAGCTCATTTGTATAGTGAGGCTGAAGTCTAAAGATATTTTAATGCATTTCAGACATCTCGTTTGCTTTCGAAGCAAAAATGTATGAAATAAATTAAAAAAATAATTGCGTGCATGGTGGATGATAAAGAAAAAATGCCTAAAATACACGCAAAATACGTGTAGGCTGGAAGGCCTGCAACTAGGCTACCCCAAACAGAATTGATAGGCCCAGAATAATCCTCTTGTGATAAAGGCAAATCTCTCTGCATGAAACTTCTCTTGTCATCGAAGAAAGTAGATTAAATAAAGATGATCTTGAGTTTGATGGTACATTTTCATGATTTCTACTTTCAAAATATTGATTCTATTCTTGCAGCAACTTAGATTCAATGTAAATCTTGTCGTCCAACAGGGTGAAGAACTCATAATTCTGTATCCGAATGCTATTGTTGTGATTGATGGATTCAGCCTTTTTATGGCATTAAAAGCATGCAGAAATCAGATTGCCAAAGGTATTGGGTCTTTTAATAAGGGTCGCTTTTGATGTGCAGAAAAAATTAAGATAATTTACAGTTACTAACTGAATCTGTATCTTGTGACGAGCTTGTTGGTGAGACAAAGTAACCCAGCAATGATCAATTCTATAATCCTTATATATCAGGGATAAATGAATAGTAAATTTGCAGATTCTATAGCAAACAGTTATGCAGTAATCATGTGTATAGTCGCAAAGTTTTCTCTTTTCTAGCTGCTTACATGCAAAGAAAATTTTTTGGGATTTATCTATCTTTTACTGTTTTAAAATTACTTCCCAGATGGCTGTCTTTTCACAGCAATTCTTTTTCAGCTCAAGCAAGCAAAACCCAAGAAGTTATACAGCCGCCTCCTCTGGCCTACAGAAAGTGGAGATTACATGGCCAAGAGAAAGTATACGACATAGTCAACTGTGGTATGTATTCATCCCTCCTTTCGATATTAATTCCTTATGCTGGTTTTCCTTCAAATTATGAATCCCATCAAAGCTTTTGCTTTCTTTGGTATGTCTCTATGGTATGTTGAGGAAAGTAGATGAAAGGGTTCCACGTGCTTTTCAATTGTATAGCGAATTACTGAGCACCGATTGGTCAAGCCAGTTGCCAGTCAATTGCCCTATTAATCCTCTCAAGTGAGCTTTGATTCGCACCTGGATATAAATTTCTATTACACTTTTGGTCACTATCCAACATTTAAGTTCCGAAGAGTGTTTCAAGTATCAAAAATACAGTTTCATTTTTGTGCCGACATTTTATCATTTGTTTGCATTATAAATTAAGATCATTATTAGCTGTAGCATAGATTGGGAATCATAGCTTTCTAGCTTCTGATATTTTCAGTTTTATTTTTTTTCATTGGTCCATCTGTCAATTCCCCACTGCCATTTAATCCTGTACTTTTGTAAGATTCCTGAAATCATTATGAGAAATTTTTTTTCTGTTTTTATCTTATATGTAAATATCCAGTTTCTTCCCATAAACCTATATATATATATCATGTTTTCCAATATATTTGTAGCTGTTATGACAGAAGTGTTTCATTGAGAGAATGTCGTTTCTTTGCAGGAATGGTCACGCAGACCGTGTTTGACCGCCTCGTAGTCAGCTCGTTCAATTCAGATTCCCGCCAAATAGCCTCTTCTGGGACTAGAAAATTTATCACCAGTGGAGTAGATCCTTTTATTGGCTGGTACGAACTGAAAGAGGTATAATAACATTTTGGTGCAGTTTTGTAGAATCGCCCTTTAGTTGATGTAGAGTAGAATGCTCCGTTTGCATAGACAATGTTTGATTGTGATCTGTTGTAGCTGTTGTCTATTATGACTTTCTTATGGGTAATCGACTTGAGACCCTGGCATTATTGCACGCTAATCTGAGCAGGTCTTTATTCAATTTTGTGAAATTATCATAGAGAACCCCACAAGTTCAGCTTGCAATCGTGGAAAACTGTGTTTTTTGGAAACAGGCCAGAAATAGATTAGTAGATGAATATTTTCTTGGTCATGCATAAAAATGTTATTCTTAGCTCAAGCTGATGTCAGCTGATGTAGGACAATTGTTTTGATAATTATTCAAAATCTTTGGTAGTCCCCACTCCTAGTCTCCTCTTTTTTAGTAGTCTGTTCGCCAATCCATTTAGCGAAACGTCACTTAAAGAAAATCTGTGGGATACATCACTTTGCTCTCTGTAAGAACTTTCCTCTGTTTGGTGGTAGCACAACCTCTGGCTGTATTTAAGCGGCGCTAGGGCATTCATTGCTGTTGACTGTGAATGAAGCGTCATTGTTCACCTTATAAAGAGGAAACCTTATTCATGCAACCCATGAGACTTCGGCTGAGATGAACAAGCTTAACATTGATCATTGATTTATTGAAAAAACTGTTTTATTCTTAAAGTAGCCCTATTACTTATAAAAAATTTGCTAGTTCTCAAGTACTATCGCTCAATTATTTCTTTCTGAAGTTAAACTCTCTCTACTTGACATAAAAACGAATATTCCCTTGACTCTGCTAAACATGGTACATGGTACTCATTTTTTAGAGCCATTTCCTGTACAGGGTTTGGTCTTAATTTTTACCTCGATATAAATGATTATCTTTGAATATCTTTGCACAGGAAAACTCAGCCCCACTCATGTCAGAAGTTGCATTTAATGTGGCCAGCAAGCTGACAACAGCGTTCATTTCAAGCATCTCGCATGCAACCAGGTTGACTTATAATCTATTTTCTAATTTCTCACAGCTTTCAAATGTGTTATTGTCTCTTTCTATATTTTTTGTGAAAATTGATGGGAATACATAATATCAACATCTTTGGCAAACAATCTTTGACTTAGTGGAATTTTTATCTTATTTCTAGGAAGAAATTGAAATGATCAGTACAGTTCTTAGTTCTTAGATGTAATTCTTAGATGGAAAATGTTTTAAGGCCGCTGATATCTTTGCATTTAAGTCTCATTTTTTCCACATTTTGATTAGTTTTGAATTTCCTTTGTTTAGTGACTGGATTGGGTTAGGCCTCGCAAGCAAGTTCCGATCCCAGCCTGCCAAGGATGCCAAACCTCCAAAGCCGCCTGTTGAAATGGGAACGCCAATCAAATTAAGGTATCTATTTTCTTTCTTTCATTTTAAAGAACTGAATGCAAACATTCAGTTTTTTGTCATTTTGGAGTCGAATAAATTTCAGTGTGGTCTTTTATATACGCTTTAGCTAGAAATATTTCTGATACTTCGTGTTTGTTCAAACATCATAACAAAAATGAACAGAAAATGATTTAGAATCTGTAAACATATATGACTGGTAAAAAAGATCAGAAAACTATCAAGAAGTAATCACAAAGTCATTTATTAATTATAAGCAACCATTCATGTATAAATATCATCTCAAACCGTTCTGTGCTCACTAGATTTTTTAGATGGACTAAGTTGTTGATTACATGATTACAAGGTCACATTATCACCCCTTAAGTTTATCAATTCATAGCAGCAACTTCTTCGCCCATTAAACAAGTTCACATAAGAAAACTTTCCCTCAAACACAGCTGCTAAGATTATCGTAGCCACTACTAAGTTGAACAAACTTGAATGACGTCATTTCAATGAATCTCTTCTAGATATGGAATACCCGATAAACGAAGACAAGCCGAGTCGATATTTCTTTCTCCTGATGGCAGCCTGGCTGCGTGCACGGACGACTTTGGTCGCATATTGGTGATATCTAATGATACTGGACTCGTTGTCCGAATGCTCAAAGGTTGGTACGGTCTTCGAAGATTTTGATTAGAATATCGCAACTGTGTTATAAAGTTAACGAGAATAAGAAAACCAACTTGTTAATCGATTTTTTAACTTCTATCTGCCCAACCTTCATTTTTATCCTTCATTTAAGTCATTTTTAAATAGCCCTCCCTGATTTATAAGCATGAGGATTAAACTAAGACAAACACAGGCAGTGAAGACAAACACACAAACACAGACAAACACAGACACTTCAACCTTCCTCTATATATGCAAAGAGACTCAAAAACACCTGTTTGTTACTCAATGAAGTATGGATTTGCCTTTGCAATTATTTGAAAATGGCTTCAAAAACAGACACTTAAAGAGATACTTAAGCTTTTTCCTACTGACACTCTGTAGGGTGTAAAACATCAGAAAAATAATAAAAAATTCTAAGTCAGGAAATATACATACACAGTTGTGGGTCGAAATAGGCCAATCAGAAATGCGAGCAGAAGGCCATTTGATTGTTTCATGTTTGATTGTAATGACTGATTGATCGAAGTGACTGATTGATTGCAACAGTTCTAAATGGAATAGCGACCTTGCTTGCCTAACGATGCTAAAATTCTCCTCTTTGTATTATGGTTAACTATGTGTTAAAATGATTTTTCCAAGTGTATCACATCGAATGTTTTGGTTTTTTCGAAGGTTACAGGGATGCACAATGCGGTTGGATTGTTGTTGATGATCGCCAAGACGAGCAAATAGGCGTCGGTGAAACCGAAAAGAAAATTCGTCAAGCGCTCTTTCTTGTTATTTACGCTCCGCGAAGAGGGATCTTGGAGGTGAGAGAAGCGGACATACTTTTTAGAGGGGAAATTGATCTTTAAATTTTGCATCATATTGATTTGAAAAAGACTTTCATTTGATAACTCTCCTATTGGTTGGGAATAGCCTGTTTTGTGATAATTCTTCCCCAGATTGATAATTCTTCCACTTAGACAAAAAAGAAAATAATTAAGGGATTATTTCGAAAATCAAAATGTACAGTGTTCTAAGGAACGTTTTTGAGTATGTCTGTATATTTCAGGATAGACTTTCAAGCTCAAAGATATTGTAATTTCTCCATATTTTCTTATTTGCCAGGCAGTTTTGAAATTTATATTTACACAAATTTATTCTACTGCTAAGCAATTTCTTTTGAAATTATTCCAAATTTTGTAGATTGACGAAACCCCTCCGTTAAAAAAGGTCATAAAAACTATATCGTAGTTAGATTAACATTAAAATCATATATGTAATAAAAGAAGAATCTGCTCTAAGAATTTCTTGAAGGCAGTGAGTCATGGAAAATAGGCGTTCACTGCAGGGGGTAGCTATCGAAATTGTCAGTGTAGTTTCATACAATTTTAGGAAAAAACCGTTGCCAATACCTGTTTTAAACCAGTGAGAGGTAACTTCATGTGATAAGTCTAAGGTCTACCAATAGTGCTGCAGCACCAAAACCATGCATTGGGCACCTTTTGGTATACCCTCTCCTTTTATCATGACTCAGTACCTTTACTATTCAACATAGGCAAGTTATTAGAGTACAAGTTAGGTGGCTAGAGGCATTCAATTTATTTGTGAGGGTTTTCTCTCTAGATCTGGCTGGCTGAGCAAGGTAACCGAGTTGGTGCGTTTAACGTGGGCAAAGATTGCCGGTAAGCCAGGTTTTTTCGAGCTAAATTCCAAAGGTTTTGCAATTGCGATAAACCGAAGTATATTAAAGGCAATCGACAGATACTTACGTGGGTTAACCCACCTGTCAATCAAAATAAGCCAATCAATAGGCCTGTGGGTGGAATTGCACTCACTGATTGGCCAATTGTTGATTGACAGGTGGCTTAAGTTATGATTGTGTCTGTCGATTGCCTTTGAGCCGTATTGAACTGATCTTTAATAGTTGTTTTAATGGATATTCTAAAATCCTTGACCTCCCTTGTTCCTTGTGCCAGAATGAATCTTAAATGAATCTTATGAAAACCTTTCAGAGATGAGGTTGTATTTATGCTCTTTATAAAAAGTCATTAAAAAGGTGATTTAGAAGCATTCTTTACTCCCAAAGTTTTTGTACGACACACCACCTCAAGAGCTCCATCCGAAAAATAACTTCTTCAAGAAAAGAAACTTGAATTTTCCCCTTTCATCTGGATTTTTTTTGGTTCACACATGCTTTGTTTTGACTATAAACAAACAAGCAATTGGTCGGTTTTTGAATAAAAATAATTTGCTTCCAGAAATGGTAATGAATTTTGTTAAAAAGTTTGTCATAAACAAAACAATTTTATAGCATTCTAATATTTTGGTATGATTGCCATGCTTACACATGAAGAAGATGTTCTTTTATAGGTTTGTTTTTTAATAAAGGGAATCCTTTTTACAGCATTCAGCTGATTATTAATATAATTTGTAGTCTTATGTCCTGAAGTAGTGTACATAATTAGTCTTTTCGTGTGGCAGTTTAAATCCTAATACTGATTAATAAACACTTCTTAATCTAGTGTTCATGTTTTTTCTGTTATATAATATGATACTTTTTTGAAGCAAAGAACGCTTTTAGCATCTCATACAAAAACACCTACTGGAGCATTCGCAGTTTTCTATTTTGCAGTGTTATATGATATGGTACTTTTCACAAGCTATGAAACTCTTTTAAATGTTCCACCCCTGCAACCTCTTGTACATAAGCGCTTACCTTCTTCTGGTGCATTTGTATAGTTCATTCATTTTAATTTGTGTTTATTGAAGACGTGGTTTATACGTATTACCACGCTTTCTGCGGTGTCGTATATGTTGTTCTAATTTGTTTTTGTGAGAAAGGATTAACATGTGATTGTCATGTATTTATTGCTTTCTAGACTGATTTATAATGGTTACGGGACACTTGGTAGTCGTGTCAGTTCATTTGGAGCCTCTAGCGCTGAAATCGTGTCTTGCTTTTTAATGGAAGGCAACGGGTCTTTATCGTCTATCAGTGTTCCATTTCACTGCTCGTTAAGGTGAGCATTGCTAAATATCTCTTTATACGTCACAAGAGCTTCTTTTCACCTGTCTCCTGTTGGCTTTTACGTCTCTCTTTTTCTGGCTATTTTATGATTACTTATAGCTTAATATGATTACTATAAGTATTTAATCATGTTTTGTAGTCGAAATATTTTTAATCGAAAGGTCACATCACATTAATGCTCTTTAGAGTGATTTCTTACCAATGAGCGCTTGCAGCCATCTTTGTTGTTTCAAGGTTCATAGGCCCGCAGCCTCCTAACCTTATTTCTGATTCATTTGTTCGACCGAGTGATCTTTGGAGAGCTCGAACCAGTGCCTGTCTGCCATTATAGCGAGGAGCAACAGTGTTATTCACAGACGCAGTTAAAACGTCTTCTGCTCGAGATCTGTTTCCCTTCATTAGAGATCATCGATCTCCATACGCAATATAGATGGTAGATTTCGTTCATGTATTTTGCTGTCTTTCAATACATCATTGAATGTGACTTGAGATTCCTAGGCATTTTTCCTTCCAGTTTGCTGCACAGTCTAAGAGCTAGAGATAGCTATCTTCTTCAAAAAATAGCTGTAACCCTCGAGAAAGGCTTTACACAGACCAAAGAAGGCGAGTAAACATTATTTGCCATGAGAAAGAAAACTGTTTTTATATTCCTATTTAATGCTTTGAATATTGCGGTCAGTCGATCTTTGGTAGGGTATTTGGTATCGTATATAGTTTCACTCTCAATGCAAGCACACGGTGATAATATTAAGCGTAAGTTTGGCATTAGCAACTTAGAACCGTCTTTTTCTACTCACCAAAGTATAATACCCTGATATATGTTTTTAAGTTAAGCTATTGATTTTGCTATAACTTTTTTCCGTTTCCAATTCCAGTGTTTCTCTATTCGTCAAAAAGGCCTTTAGTAGTAATTCTATTGCTCCTTGTTTTTTTTCAGACGATCAAATAGCCACATTGAAGCAACTATTCCAAGAAATGGAAGCGCCTGAAACATTTTTCCAGGTATGTTGAAAGTATTTTAACCATTTGTATGTCATGGAACAACACTTGAGTCTCATGGAACAAATGTCTGGGTCAAAATTGGATCGGATTCTCAAACAACCTTGCGTCGAAAAAGAACAGCTTCCGTCCTGTTTATGAGTACATATGTAAACCTAAACATGCTCTAAGATTCATCGTTCCTTTTATCCTGAGGGCAACTACCGAAAAGCGAAAAATACCTGAAACATGTAGAGGCATATATTATGGAAAATCTAAATCAGCAACTTTGCCTTAGATATCTAAGCACATTGATTTTGACTCTTTGCTTTTTTCGTGCTGTTTTGGGAATGATCTTATCGCAAGGTAAATTTTTGCAATAAGGGTGTGGCCTTATTGTATTATGCTGCTCTTGGCAGGAATCAAACTCATGTAGGCCAGGCGATGCCATGTCAAAATCAACTTTCATTCGACTGAGCCAAGCGACTCGCATCGAAACGAGCGGAAGGTTGTTGAATCCCACCCTGGAGAATTCACGGCTGTCAAGATAGTCGTTTCTTGTGTTACGTCTGTAAGCCTTCGTCAGAGCCATTTCAACGACGTAGATTTCTAATTCCATTGCAAAGATCATATTTATAGATGTATTTGAAAATTACTGTTTATCGGTCTGTCAAAAAGTGCTCGATGCCGTATAGGGCAATTGGTGTGTGCCTGATGATCGAATAAAACATGAAACTCGGAGAAGCAACTTAGGACTGTCTTGTATTTTACACCAAAAGCGTTTGTAGATGTATCTACAAGAAGAAAATTTAAAGGACTGTTAAGGCCTATTTGCTGCTCTTTCAGGGTGTTGTGTTTCGGTACTAATGAAAGAAAACGTGCTCATAAATAAACAGTAACTGGGCGGATTATAACTCTCGCCGTGCTGTTCGAAAATATTTCTAGTCTGGCATTAATTCTGTTGAATCAAAAAGTTGGTTTAAGCACATCCTCAAGTGAATCTTATTTAGATAACCAGTTATCGCCAGAGGAGAATATACCGCCGACTTCTATCTTATGAAAATCACTTCCTTGTGTCTGAGTTCTAAGCATGTGTATCACCTTTTAGCTTGACCAGCTTTTTATTGCATTTTAGGCAGTGCAAAAAACTGTATCCAGTAAGAAATTGTCCTCCAGATCTATGAGCAAATGCATTTCATCCATCAAAGAAATCTTAGCTGAAAAAGGTAGCTTCTTTGAATCACAATACCAACGTTTTATTGATGTATTATTGCTAAAACTCAAGATCTGTACAAATTCTCTGAATGTTTAAGCAACTTCTTTGTTATTTGGCTCATGTTGGGCAATATTTGATCACCAGGATGCTCTTGTCTCTTTGCCAGTTGATCGATAATAAACCATCTTGTAGAATTGACATTTAGGAGTCGTGTATTCCTATAATTATCAACCTACTCTACCCTTGTTATCTATCCAGCTTCTGGTATCAGAAGCAATTGTATTGAATACATTTACCTTACCAGATATATTTGTTCCTGCAATTCCCGCTGGATCACAATGTAATATCACCACACATTGTAATATCATTAAGATATCAAGCCTATATTGCGACATCACTATATTGCAGAGCAATAATCAAGTATATCATTGTGTTTTCCAGCGGAGAACACTGGCCCTGGTAATGATATTGAATATATTGCCGAATTGAATGGCATCATCTCAGTTTGTCAGAACAATCTAAATTTAATAGAGCTCTATGACTTTCAAAAACTGCTACACGATGCAACTAGCAAGGACAGCAGCTTAGATTCCACTATGGTTACTCCCGAGGTATTGCTTTTAGCATCCTAAAATTTTTTTACGTATGTGTTTAATTAGAATATCTAAAAACATGCATGTTCAAACCTGCTCGTTATGTAAATATTAATTTGGAGAATCTAATTTCCCCTTCAAGAATGCTTACTTATGCTTTCATACAGGTCATTTTTGGCAGAATTTCCACCTCTCATTTCTGACAGTTAGGGAAAAGTCCTCATTCAACCAACTGAATTCATAGCTTAATTAGAATTTATATTTCTTAAATTTATCACAGTGTCGAATGGTTAGTGGATCTTTTTGTTTAAGGGTAGCAAATATTATTTTTAATGACAGTACGATTTTATTAGTTTAATTTGAAGGATTTACCAATTCAAATGAGGTAAATATGAAGGAATTTGAGTGGCTTTGGTATTCTGTTTCGTGGCATTTTGTGTATTTACTTGTACTACATCCTGCGAGTTTAGTAAATGCCATGCAATTTCATCATAAAGCTTTGAAATTTAAAAGAGATATGGCGTAAATTTTATAGTGAACAAATGTGGTATCTGCTTTTCTCTTCTTACACAGGACCTTACACAGTTGTTGAGACTATCAGATAAAGACAAGCAATTTTTCCATGATGCTCAAGGTTTAGAAAACGAAGCAAAAGAAATAAACGAAAATTTGAAAAACGAACTGACTGTGGCAGAGTTTTTGGACTTTTTCGTCGTTGATGCGCAGGTTCACATGAATCAAAGAGATATACCGAGAGGGGAGACAAAAATGCAAATTAGGCTGCCAGAGGACCTCAAGATTACAAGGAAATTGGGTAATTTTCGTTTGCCTTCTTCGGGATTGGGTACTATTAAGCTGTTACTGTTCGATTTTAAGCAATTTATAAGGTATATGGGCAGAGGTCTGGGGAATAGCTACAGAAAACTTGGGATGTGGCTAAATGTTGTTTTCGAGAATAAAGATTCTCTTATTAAATATCTAAAAACCTATTTATCTAGACAGTGCTTTTGCTTGGCATTCTGTTGCTTCCCATTCTAATGAATGTTGTTATCAAGGTAATAGAAAATTGATTTGATATTAGAAGATTTTTGTCGGAAGATAGGAGATTTATCTTTTTGGTGGCTGGTAGCAGCAATAATATCTTGCATTTGTAATACCACTTGCAAAAACATTTAAGCTGCATATGAGGATATGCATTACTCGGCCAGAATTACTGTACCGTGTGTTTTCCAATAACCCTTCAGAAATGTAGTATTAGAATTTGTCGGGCTTAGTTCGAAAGTAGCATTTCCCATAACTTTCCATCTTCACAGCTCGTTGATTGATTTCTTTTCTTTTTCAGGACAGCTATTCTATTTGGTGAGTAGATTTAAATGCGCTCTGTTTTGATTTGGTTGCATGCACGTAGATCAACGAGAAACAAATTTTTCAAAAGCTTTACCAGATATAATTCCTCAATTGAGTATTTTTTAAAAATCATGGAAGCATGTTATACTTTGATAAATAATTATGTAGATACAATAGTGCTTCATTCATTTGACCTGCGATAGTGGTTTTTGTTAGTCTGGAAGTCAGAAAGCTAATTTGAAATTAGTTGGTTTTCATTCTAGCCATTCATTGAAAACTTGGTTCCTTTGGCACGGCTAAGAAATCTCATTGACTCGCCCTATTTTGATGCCGAAGCATGCATGGTACGTTTTTCATTGCAGTTGTAATTACAACATTATATATATGTTTATTTCATTCTCAAATCTCCTTTAAGTAAACGTTATATTAATACCTTTCAAATCTGAATGCCAAGGAAAAACCCACACTATATAAAAAAGTTCTTTGGTGTGTTCTGTAGGGAATAAGGGATTGGGATTTCCTTATTTATACCAACGAAGGCGTGCGAGGCTTCTTTACGTTTAGACAGATTTTGCTATTTTGTATTGTTGTGGCGCATGTTACATCTTCTAGCTATTTTTTCATTGACTCGTGACGCAGATGCTCTTGAATAAACAAACCATTTCCTTAATGTTGTCTTGTGATAACCCTGTGCACAAGTTTGATCTAATCCAGACGCCAAATGAGATATGATTTATATTCACCCAGGAGCAGCAGCGTTTTCCTATTCATTGCGTCATATTTTGCATATGTTATTGATGCTCCGTAATGGATTCAGTTTTTTAAAACATAAACTTTTTTAAAAATGGCATGTTCACATGTATAATTTTTTCTTCTAGTGTCTTCTGATAACATATTGTCAAATTGAAAATCTGAATGTTTCAAAACTTGAAATTGTTTACCGAATAATGGAGTTTCTTCTAAAAGGTACCTTTCCTTGTTTTCATATGATTCAGAATCAAGCAATCAAATTAAATTCTTTGATAACTCTGACTTCATACCCTCCCTATCAACCTCTTAATATGATCTCATTTGCCTAGGCAAATTTGTATCACTTGACTTGTTTTCAAGTGAAACTGTAGAATAGAGAAAGAGTTTTAAGCTAATCAAGATTTAAGCCCTAGGTGATCTGAGTTGTAGATGGGCTTGCCAAACATAGTGATTATATCGTGTAGGATTATGGTTATTGTGTTCTGTGAAGCCAGACCGCCGTTCTCTACTGGTGGTCTTAACATTACGTGCTACTTCCCCTTCCATCAGTCAATTAACTATCGGCCAATCACCAAGCTTCTGAACGTTATTACACTTTTTGATTGGCCAATGTTGATTGACAGATGTCTTAAGCCTTATGTCTTATGTTGATTGAGAGATGTACTTTTTTATTATTTCTAAATTTACTTCAGGCGCTGCTGGTGATGCAACAGAGACCAAAGATAGTCTTCTTGATATTTGGAGACCAGTAAGAGCCTTACTTGAGGTGTCAAAATCAGTCAAGAATTGTCTGTTGCTAGCGTATCTTGGTAGAGGCATTTCAACGAATCTACAATCTGAGGTAAAAGCTTCATGCAAATAGTCTCAAATTTCTTCGTTATTGTTAAGCATGGCAATGCTAATTTAATTTGCTTCTGTTGACATCTTTATAAAACCTTATATTGAGACCATCGTTTTCATTGGTTTTATCATCACGCCCAATGGACATTGTGATGTATCTACAGGTTTGGTGCTATAAACGCCACCACTCTCCCATGATAAGATCTTGCTACTGCAATTTTACTTGCAGAACGTAATCACGATAAACAAGGAACAAGCTTTCTGTATTATTCTTCTTCTTCTCAGCTCGTCACGCCACTGCTGGCGGGTGGCCTCCACAAACTTCCCCACGCTTGGCGATCTTGTGCCACCTGTATTTACGTACAGCCAGCTTTTCCTTCAATCTTGTCTCGCCACCTCCGTTTCGGTCTTCCACTGACTCTTTTCCCCTCTCTTGTTTCTGTATAAAAATAAGTAAATCTCTTTTGTAATGATTGTGTATGATATTTGGAAGTTTTGGCGAGACATCGATGCCAAGCCAAGGAACAATGGAACTTTTTTTCATGTTGTACTGACGCTCTTTATTTGTAAATGCAGACATTCCATGTTGATTCTAAGGCAAAGACATTTAATGTTATTTATTTCTTAATCTAACGAAGGTTTATTAGTCATTTTTCTATACGCCAAAGTCTTTATACCGTTTACTGGGATGGCATACATTACGCCAAAGCCTCGACACTGCTTTGCCGTGTGGCTCTTGGTGAGATTATTCAAAGGGGTTATCGAATCTCTCAGACTCATACGTACTTCCCTTTCTTTACACTACATCCCACACGCATTGCTACTGACAGCCTACTTGCTAGCTCTAGGTCGGCTTTAGGTCCTCATTCAGTCTAGCTGTACTGATGAGCACCGATGTGGGGCGAAATTACATTGGTTGACAATCCTTTAAACTAACCTTACAAGAAGAAAGCAATGATATTTGATAATATGTCTTCTGGTCGTGTCTCTCCTTGCTAGAATGAAGTAGATGGACAAACTCCCTTATGGACTGATGTTACTGAAGATATAGAAGAATGGAATGAACTTATCAAAAAACTAGAGGATGTGTTTATGTTGGCAAGTTTCCTGCAGAAGGGTCACTTTGATGACGAAGAAAACAACCAGGCTACCCCGTGGCATCTAAAATTGTCTATTAAAGGTTTGTTACTTATTGAAACGCGCCATGCCTAATCGATTCTTTCTGGGCCGTTTTCAATACAGAACTTCAATGCTATCAAGATGAGAAGGTGCTCAAATATTCGGTGCATCTAGTCCAGGGGAACCATATGCTTACTTTTAGATACTTTACATCTGTTAAAGTGTTGAATTTTAAGTTTTTGATGTAAATGGCGCTCTGATTTGGCAATTTGTATAAACTTTTTATCGAAATTAACCTTTTTAATGTAGAGGTTTTAGTATTGCTGATATCGTGCCAGCCAGAACTTTCTGTTTTTGTATGTTGTTTGGATGGCAACATTAGAAGCTAAATGTGATTTTATGTGTTATTAATATGATGATATGATATGATAATATGGTAAATGGTATTGATTTATCATATAAATGATAATATGATAAATAATAGATGATTTGATAAATGGTATAACAATATGACGGAACGACTGTATGTTCATATGATTTTGTGGTCTTATAGCGAAGGAAGGGTGGTCGATCTGGATGACTGTATAGTGAGATGATTTGGTAATTGTATAAAGGGTGCTCATATGCTTGTGAGATCGTTTAAATTTTGATGATCCGATTCAATGTTTAGTGTTTCGTTTCTGCATAGCAACGTTGCCGCTGAATTTAATCCCTTTTAAGGAGTCCTCTCACTCTGCTTTATTTTTAGATATTCTAGCTGGCGGCAAAGGAGCCATTTCCCAGATCGTTGCAGCCCATGTTGTAAGGTGCAGGATTCCCGGCCCATGTGTTGTTGGCGTTACTCTGCTTGAAGCAAATGAAGTCAAAAAGAGCAGCCCGGCGAGCCAGCACCAGGCGGTCAACAGTGAAATTCTCCAAGGTATTGATTAGCCGATCTGGCTCCACGTTATACTTCAACTGATAGTTTATTGGGCTGAAATTGTTTTTGCACCTAGCCCCCTGATATCTTTCTAATGGACTGCTTAAAGTAAATTACTAGCCCCTATGGGTGAGAGTTGTGACACTACTTTGGATGGTCCACCAGTGTTCTCCGGCCTACAACTTCATTTGGAGAAGGCAAGGAGAGCACTGACTGTTATATGCCAATCTGCCACTTTTATGTTTTTCTATGTCTAATTTTTTACTTTTGACCACTATTATTCACACGATTTCATTATTTTATACAGCGCTGATGGAGTTACAGAATCGATTTCCACTGAGTCTGGAAAAAGATATTTTACTTGCCCATTGTTGCTGGGAATGCATTCTGCTTTGGAAGAAGGATATCGAGGTGCCCTAGACATTTGTTCACTCTAAATGTATCGTACTTCATCATTTTATAATTTTTTTATAGCGAAGAAGAAGTTCTTTCTCAGAACCCATATTTTTTGGAACCAGACTAGTGGGTTCAATTTATTTCTAATTTATACGGCGCATGTATTGTTGAAGGAAGCTTCTCTCTTATTCGTCCAGTATTAGCTCAAATAACATGTGTAAAAGCCAGTGTATAATAATGAGCATGTGGCTGAAACACGTGCCATGACAGATATACATCGTAGGGAATTTGTAGAGTGAGGGGAATGGAAGCGGGGTTTGAATAGAATAGTGGCTGTCAATCAACGCCTTATCTCTTTACTCTATCAAGAAACAGTATAGCCAGCTAAGTTCTTTTCTTCAGGGAATCTAATGGTAAAGTTGCTTGGAAGTGTCTTTTTTTAATGTATTTATTTTGTATACTACACTATCAAGCCAAATGCTACCTCGCTATTTGCCCTATTAAAAAGTTGTTGCATAAAGTAAGATTTAAGGAGTATGCTCTTTCATTTCAGGATGTTTCAGTATTATCCAGTGCTGTTGTACATCTTTCGTCTATCTCAAGCAATATTCTCAAGCAAGGTGAATACTGTATTTTTATTACCTGATAAATAATGGTTTGAAGACAAGAATAATCCGTTGGTATTGTTAAACAATTCCTTTAGGTTCCATCGTGCTTTGTTGTCGTTGAGTATGTATTCTTTTTAGGACTGTTTTTCACAATCTTTGTTCTTTTTGGGCCAATTTTTCAATTTCATATTTGTTGTCAGTCTCTTTTTCGCCCCTTCTCTCAGTTTTTTTTTATAATTCGTTGTTTAGCCAGATGCTAAATTCGATAAAAAGAGAGAGCACAGATCTGCTATTGTCACTTGTCATATCAATTCGTAAATATAGGATATGTTTAAAGGCAATTCTCAAACATTTACAAGATCTAGAATTGACTTTCTTTACGCACGTTGATGCTTCGTAATACTTTGAACGTTGACAAGGATTAATATATCTTTCACTATAAGGAGTGTTCTTTTTCATTATTGTCTTTACTGTCCCATGTCATTTTCTGGCCCACCTCATTCTCATAATGGCTAAAAGCTCGTTGTGCCTCGTATTTTGGACTACCGTAATCGTTCAAATCAGCGCCCGGGAGCTTATTTAATTTTTCTTTTTTTAAGGGGGGGGAGCGATTATTCGAGATGGGCACTTATTCGAGATGGGCGCTTATTCAAGATGAGCGCCCATCTCGAATTTTATAAGCGCCCATCTCGAATAAGCGCCCCCTTGTTCTAGGGTGGGCGCTTATTCGAAATTGGCGCTTATAAAATTCGAAAGGGGCGCTTATAAAATATTTCTAATAAGATACTTAATATTGATTTAGTGCACAGTGAATTTAAGAAGTTTGCTGATAAGAAAAACAAAAAAGAATAACAATTGTCAAAGAAAAAGTGTTATTCTTTCTTTTCTAAGGTCTTCCCTTCCCTCCTTGCGAGATAAAGATTATTTTCATCGATTTTCTCCGTTAATCTTGAAAATTCGAATAAGCGGCCACCCTAGAACAAAAGAGCACTTATTCGAGAGGGGCGCTTATAAAATTATTTTCTTAAAAGAGGGGCGCTTGTTCGAGAGGGGCGCTTATTCGAACGATTACGGTAATGAAAAATTGTGCTTTTAGGAGGCATTGCAATGGTACATTAAAGAAGGTGTTCTGTAAGTCTAAAGACAACATCTTAAATATTTTCCTGACCCCCATCATACCCCCCCCACCCCATCCCATACACCGCCTTGGCTTGCACAGTAATTGCTACTGCTGCTACTAGCAAACACGGTGCTTTGATTGATTATGCCTTCGCTGAATCCGAGCTTACTGTGTTGCTAGGCCTCATGGTATTGTTTTGGAAGGCCATATTCAAAGAAAGCATCAAGATGACCTTTAATCTTATCGAAAAGGTTTGTCCTGCGATATATCTTTAGTATAGCTCCTTTTTGTCTGTTTGAATGCGTCCTGTTTATATAAAAAGAATCATACTTATTTGATTTGTTATTGCTATAATAGAGGGAACTTAAGACGGCGTAATTGTTTAGGGAAAATTTAGTTACATGCCTCTTTGTATTACATTTTGTTGAAAGATTGTAATAAATTCATTCCTTGTCATTTTAATTTCTCTTAATCGCATCAGAGGGACTGTTGTAAATGCTTTCAAGGAGAGAGCCCCCTTGACTTCCGAATCGAAGAGGTTCCAAACTCCAGCACCTTTTCATTAAAAAGCTCGCTGACCATAACTAGTCTTCATAAGTAGAAATTTTAAATCAGTGGCCTCAATTTTTCATACTACGTTTCAAGTTTTTTGTACAAATTTTTGATTGGCAATCCTGTTTTATCTAATTAATCTATATTTAATGCTAATTTAGCACACTCAGCTAATGCACACGTTTTAGACATGTTGTTGCAAAGTTTTATTTGTTTTTTCTACTCATTCGTAATGAGACAGGCAGTCTTTATTATTGTCTTGGTTCATTGAATTTACTTGCAATATTTTTAGATTGGCAAAGCCCCCAAGGATCGACTATGTAGAAAGGTGAATTTTCAATTTGCAATTAATTTGCAATTCACGGTGATTCATTAAATTTGCCGTTTTTAGTTTTTTGGTCTTTTGCCAAGATTCTTAAAAAATCTGGTCTTTTTCAAGGCCTGCTCAGCCCTGAAGGCCGAAAACCTGTACACATACATGTATCTTTTTGACGAAACTCCTTAAATTTTAGCATAAAGCCCATGTAATTTTGTCCCATGTAATTTTTCTGTTCGACGCATAATTTGTTTTGATCAACATTTAAAATCCAAACAATTCTAGTCCTTGAATTTAAGAATACTCCCCCCTTTAAACTTCCATCTTTTAAGTTCTGGTCTGAGTTACTCTTGATATTTCCCCCTTTCTTCTCCATTATCTCACTTTGCAAAATAGCGTCTACTCGCACTATCCCTAAAAGGCTCTATCCAGACCATATTTGGAATCATGGTCTGCGACTGAATAATTGTTGCCTGAGCAGTTACCTGGTGATTGCATAAAACATGGAACTCACGAGTTGTAGCTTAGATCCGTGTTGTTCTACATTTCAAAGTGTGTACAAAGTGTCTTTATGGAATTGAGCACTTCATGACTTAATTGTCAACAGTTGACTGGCTAGTTGTTGTAATATTGTAGTATTGAATCCATCGTTTTATGATTCAACCCTATACCCTAAAACTCCTGATTCTGATGCATATTAACTGATTAACGCATGTTCCATTCTTTACCAGCATATTGGGATGAGCAGCACTGCATTAGAAACATACCTTCTTACAGCGCATCGGTTGTTGTATCAAGCTCTACAGGTATGAATTCAAAGCACCTCTGTTGTTGTAGTTGCTTTGATATTTGAAATACTAAATCCAGAACATCTGCATGCTGTAAATACGGCCCTACAACCAAGTTTCGAGGGTGGGTTCAGTTAGTTCCCCCCCCAACCCTCTTCAAAAAATGCTGGTATATTATAAACTGGCATAGGAGATTAGAAAGTACTTGTGTGAAATGAAGTATGAGGAAGTTTGTGACTTGTATGATTTGCCTGAACTACCAATATTTCTCTGAAAAATATAAAACACGGTTTAAGCTGTTGGATGTTCCAAGTAATTTTTGGAAGGTGTTTTATCACATTTGCATCGCAAGTGCTTGGTGTAGACTGCTATTTAAATGTAGACCTTAATCAAATAACTTTGCTCCAGTCTTGCTGGAAACTGGATTTTCCAGTCTTGCTATGAACTATATTTCTTTACCAAACATGCATCAGTTTTCTCACAGTTTTTCATCTCTCCATATTTCCCTCTTAAAAAACTGCGAAATTAAGCTTCGAAATTGGTAGAGGAACCCTGCGCTCTCAGTCAGTTAATGAGCAAATACCTTAAAAGTTTCCACGTTTTCTAAAGTTTGATGTAGTTCATTTTTAAATGATTTGTTTGTTAAGTTAGTCCATCCATTTTCTGGTGCTTGTTATTCCTGAATCATCTTAAGGCCCTTTTAAACGCTCTCAGTATTACATTGAGCATGGCTAAAGGGTGTTGTTCATTGAAGTTCAGTTGGAGTTATTTAAACCCTCTCAACATTTTCATTCACCATTTCACACAACAACCCAGTACTTTTTCTATGAATGCACTTGCACTGACTTGACATTGTTAAATAGTGCATTGAAAAGCTTCCAAAAATGGTAAAGAAATCTCGACAACACCTAAATCATCAGAAAAGTTCAGCTGATTCACTCAACATTGTGTGCTATGCTTATCGCTTAAGCGCAGTCTCACTGAACATTTCACGTAACAACACAGAACAGAGTTTGAAACTTGTCCCAATATTTCACCGAACATCAACATCGATCTGTGACAAGCATCTCTTTCTTTTCGTGCTGTTAAATTAAACTATTTTATGTAATTTTTCTACGTTCTAAATTTACGTTTGTTGATGAGATTTTTGTAACCTTTCTATGTTCTTCAGCTGTTTTTCTCTGCTCGCACAAATCAAGTTTTGTTTCTTTGTTTCTTTCACAGACTGAAGACTCTTCAAATATTGACTTTCCAGAATTTCAAACGGAGTCAAGATGGGAAAGCAGTTCTGGGTAAGCAATTTGGCCGAGTTGATCTCGTGATGATTCTAGGCTATGCATTGTAGAAATGATCTCGGAGTTATTTTTGGTTATCAATTTTAGAGTTAGGCTTGGAATAATTCTGGGCATATAATGATGTGGAGTTATAATAATTCTAGGTTATGTATTGTAGAGTTGATGTCAAAATGATTCTGAGCTATGTGTTATAGTTATGACCAATGATAATTTCTTGGCTATGAATGTTAGACTTGGTCTCAAAATCGGGCATAAGTGTTGGAATAGTGTTGAAATGATTCTAGGCTATGCATTGTAGAGTTGATCTCGGGCAAAAACTTAGACAAGGCTAATAAATGTGTGTACTTTGCCTAGGGTACTTTTGATATTCGTAGTGATGTTTGTTTTTGTCGGTATCTTCCTTGAAAATAACCAAATTTTGCATTAATGAAAGTCGTTTTTTGTTTTAGAAAAAATTCTTCTATAATTGAAAGTGCGTTAGACGAGGCAAAATGTGGAATTTTATCGCTGAAAAATGTGTGGAACGTAACAGTTACACTATGGTTGATAATTTTAACTGGCATGAAACAGATTACATGTTCGATGCTGTTCCTCCCTGAGGTATGTATAAAATGGCTTAAACATCATGCCTATAGCGTTGAGCGGTAAATTTTTAGGTTTGCCTTGCGGGACATCTTCTGAAGAAAGGTCCATGGGGATTCACCTTGCCATGTAAAAGTTCCTTTGCGACTTCTATTTATTCCCCAAGCCAAGAGATATTTTACGGAGATATTTATGTATTATAAATCATTTTAAGCTTCCGAGGGGTTTTCTGCAAAACTGCTCTTTCTGGCTTGCATTTTACTAGGCTACATAGAAAATGTTCCCTCCCTGTTATAAGGCCACTCAGTATTTCTAGTTCAATCGTAGAGGATGTTGTTTATGACATTATCAGAAATTTTAGAAGCAGCCCCACTTAGGGATACTGCGAAGCTTGGATCTGTTGATTTGTAATCATGCAAATATTAGCTGCTAATCTTGAAGTCATTTTAAGGATTCAAGGCAAATTTTTGAAACCAATTGCTCTGGCCCGTACTTTATTTGCCTTTTCAAAAGTTATTTTCTAATGTTAGTTCTTATCTGGACTACATATTTGTAGTTGACAAGTTCAATAAAACTCCATATCCGAATAAAAACGTAAATGGGAAACTCTTTTCCTGAAATCCAGGAGACACGTGCTGCGACCCAGACCTTTCCCGCACCGTGCAGTTTACCAGAGGAAACCGATGCATCCATACAGAAAGCCAGATCGAAGGTAAAATACCAAAGATTTACTTCTCCTCTTTAATGACAAATTGTATTTCTACTAATATATTCTCTTAGTTTCAAGAATTGCATCTCATTGCCAATATAGACTAGCTGTTGCTTTTTGATACTCATAAAAACCAACAATAGCTGCATTACTATACTAAACTGCATTTTACAATTTGTTGCCATCTTCATTTACCCCCACCCCTTTTTTTCTTGTTCATCTTATAAAAATTTCCCCTGAAGTAATGCATAGATAATTTAAGCCCACTTACTTCAGTCCTATGAGTTTTATTTTTCTTAGTTTTACAAGTATCTATGACTTTTAAATGTTATATTACAGTTTATCTTGCTTTTTGGAGTACCAAGATACCTGCACCCTATTATCTTTAGATCTGATAAGTTGAGTTATATCTAAGGCTGGAGGTTTCTAACGGGAAACGAAAACGTTCAACCTTAATCGAAGTCATTCTTCTTGTGGTTATTGCATTTAGTATTTTCATGAACTCTATAGCTACATTTGAAATCACCTTTATTTTATAACATCGCATCATCGCTTGAAGTCGTCATATCTTTTACCTTTATGATAGGGTAGGTTATGCAACACCAACACCATTCTGTGCTTTCATTGTTTGAAATTCTGTTTTTGTTTTTACAGTTTTGCCTCAACTGTTTATCTTTGATTGTGGAGAAGTACTCCTGCTCAGACAGAGATGATCTTCAGCAGGAAATAATGTCAACAGCTGGCGAAGTGTTTGGACTCGCAAATAATTTCAATACAGACGATGAGATTCTTTGGAAGAGTTTCACTTTGGAGCTGTTTTTATCAGGCTTGGACAATGCAGCTTATGAGGTAAATCCATAAGATCAAAAAGTTTAATTTAGTATTTCAAAACTTTTTGGATAAGCTGACCTTGGTATGATAGCTCTTCTAAAGTTTTGTCTGGCTTAAAAGCCAATTAATAAAGCTTGATTCCACCGTGCATTATATCAGAAAATACAATGCCTGCCTAAAGTCTTGCCACACTAACGTCAGTTTTCAAGCAAAAAGAACACAATTCTTAAGAGCACTGTGTGCTCTGAGTATTTTAATTGGCCTAGTATGCATCGGGAAATGGTTGTTGCTTGAATGGGAAGGGAATTGCCATTCTGCTCCTCCCCGACTTTTCCCAAGATTGCTTGCCTACTGTCAAGCAAGCAGATACGTTTCAAGATATTATTAAACATATCGCTTTCAAGTTAATCAGAAATTTATATCTATTACATATGATATCAACATAACATCAATTAATATTTGTTCCAGGTTACTAAACAAAAACCATTAGCAAATAAGGGTAGGATGGTCCTCAGAATATTTTACCATTGTCAATCATAAGACTGAAGGTGGTGTTCTCTCATCATTAGAACCATTTAGTTATTATATTTAAAAAACACAATGTAAAGCTTACTCGAGCACTGCTACAATAAACACAAACTCCACAATTGTGCAATCTGTGCCCAAAAACAAAAGCCCAAGGGGGACCTAAAAGGCGTACCCTGTCACATATTAAACGTGATTAAATTTCATTTAATCAAGCTTTTTTAAAGGCGATGTTATCGGTGCATCACAAAGACGAACTGGTCGAACCACTACTTAAGATCTGTGGATCAAGATTGGCAGCCATTCTTTTGGAAACAACAGAAACCTCCACTCTCACCAAGGTCTTATCGAGTTTACCTACACACATTACTAGCTGGCTCCAAATCCAGGTACTCCTGTAGTTCTCACTCATAATTCTATTTCCTTGTTAACTTGTCCGATTCCTTTTGCTGCATTGTGCACGAATAGTGACGAAATAGATAGTGACATCGTTGATCGCTGTCAAATTGCCGTCGGAACGACTTTCTGCAGCGCTGATTTTCAGGCAAGAGCTTTGAGAAAAACTAGGGATGTGCTGTTCGGTACATTCTGCCGTATTTCCCATTATTTGTTTGATTACTCGAGCAAAGAGCGTTGGATAATAACAGAACTTCGTTTGATCGCCGTACAAAACATAAACAGATATTCGCGGGTTTAACTACAAGTACCAGAATGCATTGCGCCATGACGTAATTTGGGGAAGGTCTATTCCAGTCAAACCCAAGTGACGCTTTTATGTTTCTTTGCTTGGAGACATCTCTTAAAACGCCTATCAGCAAGATAAATGTATTTAATAGCAATTTGAAATCGTTTTTGAGTTAAACAGGATCTCAACTGACTGCTGTGAGTTGGCTTTTTGCCGAGTTTACTCTGTTTCTGGTTGACTACAGTCATGACTAACAGTGACTAACAGTTGACTAACGGTTTTTTTATAAATGCTCTTAAGTCGCGTTTCAACCGTCAATTATCGTAATTTTTGTGCCCGTGTTGGCAAATGGGACAATCTTATATTTATCCCATGTTTATCTGCAATGACGTGCTACAGGAATGAAGTTAATATGAATACGGGGTTTTACATGTATGGTTATTTTTTGCATTAATTATGCATATTTTGCTTCTTGGCTAATATTTCATGATACTTTGAATTCCAGTACTGCTGTATAAATACGATCATTGAGTGCATCAAAATATTATTATTTTTTAGTCTGCTGGGAAAGAGGTAGCAAGGAAGTCTACAATTAACGACAATATCAAATTACTAAATAACATCTTAGCCTTCAGTTCATCACAGAATGACTTTATTAAGGATCTTGTAGAATGTTTAGAAATTTTTTTGTAATGTTTAAAATAAATGACGGGAAAATATAAAATAGAATACATTTAAATACTGTTGATAAGCAATATCCAAAAAAGTATTTTTAAACCGGCTTTTTATTCGAGTTTACCTATAAATATTATTGTATGGTTATTCGCATTGTTTTTAAATAACTTAAGGATGTGGAAGCTGAGTTTAGTTATATCGGGTCTCTAGGTAGTTGAATATGAAAGAATCCTGGACAATACAGTCGAATGCCAAAGGTAAGGCTGTCTCGTGATTTGAAAATTCGTTCAAAAGTTTTAAAATTCAAAATTATCATTGTTTTGGCCAATATTGGCACAGTCCGGATTTTCTATAATTCGAAGAATTATTCTTTTCTCTGAAAGCTCGCGTTATCTGACGACGAACAGTTCTTGGAATTCAGAGACACAAAGCATTCGATTCTTTCAGACACCAACCTAACTACCCTACTTTCTTGAAAAAGTACACACGTTCGAATAGACGCACACCCTTGAACCGAGTTTTTTATGAAGCGCACATTGCACACTTAAATAAGCGCACACTTTGCTCTTCATCTCGCGAACTTAAAACAACGAACTTCAGGCCTACGTATGTGGCGCTTTTTCAAGGAATTATACATTTTGAATACTTAATCAACACAACTCTAGTTTGTAATCTATCTCATAAACTGTTATGATCAAATCTAACATTTGCAAATTTTTGACTATTTTTTTTCTACTGTCTTGAACTCTTCTTAACAGCTAGCTCTAATCTGCAGTGAAGTAGAGTCCAGCCAATCTAACGTTTTTCTCATGCAGTAATAAGCATTAAGATTATAAAAACATAAGATTAGAGTTAGAGTATGTTGTGACGCTTATTAAATTCACCTACCCATTTACTCCTGAAATTGAAATCACTAGTCTTAGCCTTTTCTGTCGTACATTGATATAAATAGTGTTATTCAGTCTAAGAAATTGTGCGTGAACAAAAGCATATAAACAAGAGATTGGATGCAGATTTTTATAGACGTTTCCCTTCAACTTGTTTCTTCATAAGCGAAAGCCCACATTATCTGTGTGAAAATAAACACACCCATGTTCGCAGTCTTTCCAGCAATAACAGGGCGACGTCAAAAATTTCGTCCACATTAATATCCAGCCTTGCTGATGTCAGTAAATGGCGGCAGTACGCGCTTACATGTTCTTGGATGAATTTCTCGATCATTTCCGCTTTGTAATTATCCGTATCCTTTTCGGTATCGATTTTTGCTCCAATGAAAACAACGGGAACTGGCGGACGACCTTCCAGAACATCCATAGCAGTTTTATAAAGGTCTATGGCCCTCTGCATGCTTTGAACATTCCTAACCTCATAGACGAGCAACAACACATTCGCTTTGCTCATATCCAATCGCTGCATAGCAGGAAAATGATAATACCCTGAAGTATCGATAATACGAATGTTTGAAAATGTTCCTGAATATCTGTTATAAAATGTTCTGAAGTAACAGTCTTCTATGGTTGGTGTATACGTGGGCGAAAATGAGCCATGTATGAACCGTCTGACTAGTGCCGTCTTCCCGATATGCTTTGCTCCTAAAACGACAAAAGTTATTAGATTATCATGCTTTGCTTCAGCTTTTTGTATTTTCTGTTCTTTGATCCTTTGATATACCCTGTTCATCTTTTTTTCTGTGCGAATTTGCAAATGCCAGATCATTCTGCAAGCTCTGTCAGAATTTCCAGGACCTGTTCTTGCGTCTTCCATTGGTCATCGTTATCGCGAAAGCTGAATACGCTATATGCAGCCACCGGTTTGTCAAACAGGGCAATAAGCGGTAAGTCAACATTTGATATAAATTAAATGTTAATGTCAATTCATCCTTTTTACGTATATCAGATAAGATACGAGCCAGTGAAAGCATGTTTTAAACCTAAAACCTACTGCATCAGGACAATTTAACCTTCTTGGTGTGTTGAATTGATTTTTGTGCTTGAATCCCCTATAACTGGAGTTTTTTCGTTATAGTTATCCCATCCATTTTCTCAACCGGAGTACTTTGCAAATGAAAAACATAATCAATAATTAACATGAATAAAGCTATTGATCCCAGCATGCACGAATAAAACTTGTTAACAAGGTAATTTTTGAATTAAGTAGACAAGCCCAATTTTCTCACTATACGTTTATTGCACTTTGAGCTATGAACATTGTCATACGGAAAGGCATCATACAATATACCATATAACGTTGCATTCAGGCGTCAAACGTTGTCATACATAATATTATCTTGTATTATATTATCATGCAGAATGTTGTCGTGCATAATATCATCTAGTGTTACATTGTCATACGCAAAGCCGTAATACATAATATCATATGACTTTTCATTGAATAACCTAACATTTTTATACATAATATCATCTTGCCTTGAATTATCATGCAGAATGTTGTCACGCATAATATCATCTAGCGTTACATTGTCATCAGCAACGCCGTAATACATAATATCATATGACTTTTCATTGAATAACCCAACATTTTTATACATAATATCATCTTGCATTGTATTATCATGCAGAATGTTGTCACGCATAATATCATCTAGCGTTACATTGTCATCAGCAACGCCACAATACATAGTACCATATGACTTTTCATTGAATAACCTAACATTTTTATACATAATATCATCTTGCATTGTATTATCACGCAGGATGCTGTCACGCATAATATCATCTAGTGTTACATTGTCATACGCAACGCCGTAATACATAACATCATATGACCTTTCATTGAATAACCCAACATTTTTATACATAATATCATCTTGCATTGTATTATCATGCAGAATGTTGTCACGTATAATATCATCTAGCGTTACATTGTCATACGCAACGCCGTAATACATAGTACCATATGACTTTTCATTGAATAACCTAACATTTTTATACATAATATCATCTTGCATTGATTATCACGCAGAATGCTGTCACGCATAATATCATCTAGCGTTACATTGTCATCAGCAACGCCGTAATACATAGTACCATATGACTTTTCATTGAATAACCCAACATTTTTATACATAATATCATCTTGCATTGTTTTATCACGCAGGATGCTGTCACGCATAATATCATCTAGCGTTACATTGTCATCAGCAACGCCGTAATACATAGTACCATATGACTTTTCATTGAATAACCCAACATTTTTATACATAATATCATCTTGCATTGTATCATCATGCAGAATGTTGTCACGCATAATATCATCTAGCGTTACATTGTCATACGCAACGCCGTAATACATAATATCATATGACTTTTCATTGAATAACCCAACATTTTTATACATAATATCATCTTGCATTGTATTATCACGCAGGATGCTGTCACGCATAATATCATCTAGCGTTACATTGTCATACGCAACGCCGTAATACATAATATCATATGACTTTTCATTGAATAA